TTTATTCGATTTCCCTGATGGAATTATTTGCTTATAAAGTAAATTTTTCGATGTAAAAGCAATTTTTTAGTCCTTTCCACCAAAAAAATTCTTTCTGGTTTATATGCCTGTTGGAGTCAACGCGTAAGAAAATCAGCACAACTTTGAAGATGCTCGCCGATGCATGTTCTACTGCATGCATGCAAAGCCCAAGATGGATCAACAAGTGCGCGGTTGCAAATTAAGAATGAATGGAAGCCGGATCAAATGAGAAGAAATTTTGGCAGCTGGAACCTCTTGAGTTTTTTTTTTAATTATGAATTTCTGGAAAAAGCGAAAGAATTATCAGAAAATCATTACTATTATGATGATGCAGCATGCGATAAAGTCGTCAGTTGGCATGTTTTTCCTCGTTATAGCTGTTTTCTAAAATTTAAATAATAATTTTAACATTTTTAACATTAGCAAATTGTTGCATGAACATAAAAAAATTCTTCGAAAAATACTTCGAACTGTAAGGAAAAAGCATGAATAATTTGAATTGAGATGTTAAAAAAAATTATAAATAAAACGATTTTAACGGATTGGGTTTTAGCGCCTCGAAAATTCCTTATTTCTTGAACACTATTATAAGATTTTTAGTTCATTTTATTTTAAATCAAATGTCTCTATTCGTTTTGGATTAATAAACGATAGAAGAAAATAATGATGAGGAAAAATTTAAAACATTTTCAGAAAACACAATATTTTCCGGAGAGGAAATTAGACAATTTCCTTTAATTCTTGCATACTCCAGAGAATGTTTGCCATAAGCTAGTTTTTTCATAATTCTTTTTCCATAACTATTTTTTGATTTCCATGCAATGAAAAAAATATTCACACTAATGTAGGAAATCTTTTCACCAGATGTCGTTTTCTTAATGGTTCTGCTTTCAAAAATAGGTTACCTATAGATGCTGCTGGAAGTAAATCGATTTACGGTAGAATACCACTTTAGGGCAGAAAGATAGTTCGACATGGCATAACGGCCGATCGACAAAGCCGGTCTTATCTCGGAAATTAGACGTACGTAGGAGTCTTTTTAACTAGCGAAATTTATTTATTACGGCAATCGCCACTAGTTGTCAACCAACGCCAAGAATCTCCGAGATATTACCACGAAAATTAAATCTTATATTTTAAATTATCAAAATTAATTTTGTTTTATAGGCGGAAAGGTATATCTCTCTCAGTTCTGAGTGCATCTTGATATTCCACTTCCTGTAGCAATAAATGTTTCTTTAAAAAATCCACTTGATGCAGATCTTGATAATCGCTAAATGACTCCTCAGTTAAATTTATCTGACCTCACAAATGAGAAATGGTAAATGCTCTAAGAAAAAAAAGTGGTGAAGTTGTCAATCTAAGATAAACCTCGTTAAGAAATGTAAGGATTAGAACAATAAAATCTGGTGACCTACAAATCAATTAGGTCTCAAAATGAAGTGCTATAGAAAAGTCGAAAAAACAAGCTTAAAAATTAATTAAAGCTTCTTAATTCTTTCATTTTAGTGAATGAAAGTCGCTTAAAAACTATGAAAAATGAGTTGTACTTCTCCTTTTCTTGAAACAAACAATTTTTATGGCAATTTTTTCCGTTACTCACTTTGTGTTCAGAATTTATTTGCGCAATAAAGAGTGGCGATCAGTTAGTTACTAATAAAGCAAAATTCAGAAAGTCCTTATTTTCTTTAGGTATTTAGTAAATATTATAGTCCAATGTAATTATTATAATCGAATTTAATATGGCCACTTTAATAAAATCTTATCGGTTAAAATCAGTCTGAACGCGAGCGGAAAAGTTTTTAGGCATTAAGGCAACTATTTCTTACGATAATGATTTTTTTCCTTTATCTCTAATTTCCTTCCTTTTTCTCCTCGTTTTTTGACCGGAATAATCCTGCCATAATAGTTAAAGTGGACTTACATTTTGTCAATCACGGATTGTTTCTTTGGCGAGATTGAATGCTTTTCAATTGAACAATACTGCCAATTATTATATGAAGAGGTCTTGGCAGTTCAAATTTATCGTATTCTTAGTCAAAAAACTCAAGAAATTCATGTGACAAACGAGAATCACTCACGGTCACTTATCCTATGCCACGTGCATTAAGCAAAAGCCCGTTCTCAAAAAAGAGTCTCGAGCTGCTGTTGTAGTGGTCAGGGCTGAAACACTCGTTGTTCATTGCGATACTTTATCTCATTCAAGCGAAATGTGCCTAGTCTGAAAGAACGATGAAAAGGCTCGATCTGCTAGATTACGCAGAAATTTGTTTGTTCTGCGATGGTACTTTAATGTATTTTTGAGTGAAGATGGATATTGTTATGCGAGATTTATGAGATCTTAGACATGAAGGATCAAAATGAGATCCTTAATTCTTCACTCGGCCATATCTTGCAGCTATATAGCACAATGGAGCGAATCGCAATCATATAGAGCAAACATTCGTCTTAACGGTGATGAGTCCATATGGATTTCATCAACCAGAAGAAAGCATTTCTACCATTATCGAGATTGTGGTTTCCTCTTTCGCTTGGTCGTTCAAGAAAAGAATAAGATAAGAAGAGTGGATCCGACATATTTAAAACCTGGCGGTTCCACAATCGCAATGAATTGATAAAAAATTGTATTTTATCGATTTCATGCACATAAGACGAAAATACTTTCATATTATTTACATTGTTCATGGGTCGGATTCTCGTTGTAGTTGTCGACATATTATTCAGCATTATTTGCATTTCTGTCGGCAAAAAGGACTACAGCATATTCCAGGTATATAATACTACGCTGTAGAGTGATTTATACATCTTTTGAATGCCGACAGGAGATGTCTATTTTCCAGACTATTGCAATAATTGAATATTATAGGGAAAAGGACGCGACATGGCACCAGTCTTTCTTCATAGATCGAGCGACCAGGCAGATTTGTGCCAATGTATGCTGATAAAATCGAATCGAACCTTTCGAATCGAATAATCTTCTCTTGATCACCGCCACATTCCATCACCTTACAAAGTTTTTTCAATTGAATTATAAACGGATGAAAATTGATGAAACAAGTGACGATGTGATATTTGAAGCGATGTTCCAACACCCTACTTAATGTGAATATATGATCAGCATAAGTGCACCTCTCGTGAATCCAGGCTAAGGCACATCTTGATGTCTCGCACTGCGATAAACCTGTTTACTAGGAGAGAAGCAGCAAACATTTTTCCAGCGATGCCTAGTAGGTTGTTTCCTCGACAATTGTAGTAGTATGTTCTGCCCTCTTTCTTTCTTGTGAACTGCAAGCGGAATTTCTTTGCTTCAGTCATCTGGTAATTTCTTTTTTTCATTTATTGAAGGTGTGATATGAAGGACAATGGACAACATTTGAAGATTTCGGTCATTTTCATCGGCGGTTCTAAAGGCCTTAAAGGCCTTTGGATGAGTCCGGAGTTGCAAAAATATAGCTGGACGAACCGCTCAGTTATATCTGGGAAAACAGATAGTGTTTAGCCGCAAGAAATTTCTTCCATTTTATAAGACAATCCTCCGTGGCCTTAATGTGCACACCATTATCATCCCCATTTCATCGATTATTTTGCGAGTTATAGCTTTGTGGAGAAGGCGGATTAGTTTTCTGTGATTGCAGAAGTAAGCTACCGTTTCTATTCTCAAAGCCATGTCTCTCCAATAGCGATTTCTGTCCTACCATGCTGTTGTAAATGTAATTCTTCGAAGCATAGTATAGTCAAGATCTTCAGACATTCGTGCTTTGAGAGTCTTTGAAATAGTTGGACAGTTACTTCCTATAACCAAGAACATATTTCCTAATAATATATCCTAACATGGAAATGGACATCTCTTGGGACCAGGATATCCATTTCAGAAGAAATAGAGAGATTTTTATGCAAACAATACTGAAATATATAAATACTATTTTCATATATGTTTTTCTGGAAATAGACCCTCTTTTTTACATTCAAATTTTTTATGAGTTATATTCATCATAAATAATAATAGAGATAACTCAAGTATGAAAAATTAATAGTTTATAATTTTATAATTATAATTATAATTTTATAATTATAATTTTTTGAATAATTTATTGATACGAATTTTGAACAATTATCAATCAAAAAGTGGATGCTCATCCAGAAAACTGGTCTTTATGATATATGAATAAAATCAGTGAATGCAACATATTAACTTGATGCATAAATATCATTCCAGAGATATCATTTAAATTCATTTCACTAAGGTACATCAAGAATTCGGTTTGAAATTTGAAATACTTATACTGCGGTCGAATCATTTACTTTGAGATAGATCTTTGAAGACATACGAATCTTGGCTCGAAATATAATCTGATCCATGAAAGTCACCAGTTTCAATGCTCAGAGAGAAAGAACTATCTAGTATGGGAATGGCGAATGACTAAGATATAAATTAATCTGTTTGGAGTGTTGATTGTTAACGTCCAGGGGAGTTCCGTGTGAGTATATATCTTCTACGATGCCGAAAGTACGTAAAAATTCATGCCCTCCGGCAAAGAAGGCCGTTCTCCAGTGCAGCACCGGATGTCGATATCATATTACCCCAACTATCCGATCTGTCGTGGCAGCATGACATGCGCGTATCATAGTCTCTCTCGAATAGCTACTAAATATGAAAATCGATGAATTATGTGATGAAAGGAAATATGCCCTTTCAAATGAGTTTTTTTATTTTCATGAAATTCCTAAGGGCACTCGTTTTGTGAGTGCTTTACATGATGGATGCAACAAGAATTCCAAAAACAACTTCCATCGCCCTTTTATGGCCTAACTGTTACTGCGGAAATTAAACCAAAGTAGGGTTTTTTCAAAACTACTCAGAAGCTTAACTCCCCTATTGTCTTAATTGTATATTACTGTTGGAGAAGATGAACTCTAATGCATTCGATGTACGATTATTGTCCTCTTGATTTATTTTGCGGAGATATTCAGCGGATATTATGCGATCAGCTATGAATTCACTTATAATGGTTCTTTATCGTAACTTAAGAATATTTTTCAATGGCATAGTAATTCATTCCGACGAATTATTATTGAGTCACTTCAAGGCACATTTTTCCATGGGTTCATCCATGGTGGTTCTGTCACAATTGAGGAATTTGTTTCAGTTATTAGTTGGTACTCCATCAAATGCGGAATTCATATTACAAGAGACCAGCGTAATTACTGGCTGCCCAGTTGGTATTGTGAAAACCTATGAAATCTCTCAGTCATTATCTTTAGAAAATCAGGTGGGTATAAGAATTACTCTTCCAGTTGCTTTTGTAGTGAAGTGATCTTTTTAGTCGATAATGCGTTAAAAACTGTTTCTTTTCGATTGCATGGTTTTTCCTCATTTATAAACTTGTTTATAGATTTATTTTAAAGCAGTATGAATCCATATTCTGGGTTTTTTTTTATTGCTATTGTCATGGATATCTTATTTATATTCATTTATTTGCATAGAGAATTGCTCAATAAGTGCCTCGTGCTACGGAATGATCTATCATTCATGCACGAAAATTCTGATCAGGCCCTACTGCAGCGATATTTTCTGGCTGTAACCATGAAAGATTGTTCAGTCATGATTAGTCTCAGATTTATTGATGAAACAATAACATCAATTCCACATTCAAGGTGTTCACCTCCACCAATTGTGAAGATTCATCTGTCTACAATCCAACATCCTGATGCCTGTTTAGTCTGATTCGCATATTCAATTAAATTTGTTGATCTTGATCCGAAAACCCCGCGACACCCATGTGTTCAGTAATAAATTTCTTATGCAATATTCACTGGTAAATATTTTCTGTATTATTGGCTTTCTTGTATAAAACCTATTTATTTTTTCCTTTATGATTTGCTTGTTAATCTCAATTTTTTTAAAATATCGTATTCATAACCTTTTTTTCTTCTTTCTTAATTCATGTTATTTTTTTTAAAGAGTCCTCACCATTATTGATTAAACTCGCTCCACTAGCTTGGAGCAACATGCCAGGGAATTCCTTGGCGATAGAAATATGAGTCATCAGAATCACTCGGATTTTTGTAAAAATTTACTCCTGCGGGGAAGCGAACCTCAGCATCGGGTTATTATATTGATATCAATATAATGACTTTTGGTTATACTCTGGCCTTGGTTCACTGCAAATCTTCAAGTGCATTAATATTTATATCGTTTGTTCACTTTGTTTTGTTATTTAGTTCAATGTTTCATTGAAAATTCATTAACATAATGGATAGAATGGCTTAGTGGGTTGCTGCTCAATTGGAAAACGCCGATGCTGAGATTCGATCCCCCGCAGGAGTAATCCGGGGTGATGCTGGCGACTCACGTGTATTTCTGTCGCCAAATTTGTCCAATGCGACAAGCCAGCGAAGCGAGTTTAACCAATAATGGTGAAAACTTTTAAAAAATAAATCCACTCGGATATTTGATATTATGGCAGGCGCATCTCTATCAAAGATAAAGATGAATAATTAAGAGAAAAATAAATAAAATAGAAAATAAAAGAAAACCATAAAAAAACCATAAACCATAAAAAGAGACTTATCTCATACGCAGTGCTGTCCAATCCTTTAGAAATTTTGAGAAAAAATGAAATGATTATAATGAAAATTTATCGATTGATATAGTCAGGGCAACTTATCAGCCGCTTGCAATCAATCAACTATTTTTTCGAACCGGGATGCAATCCACACGGTGGATTCAACGACTGACACGAGAGCGAGGTCGTTGCATCAGTGGAGAGCAGCTATATCACCTGGAAGAATATTATATATTATATATTATATATCCCCTTGAACAGCATATAAAGATAATACAATGATAATGTACAGAAAACTTTTCGGAATAAATGCATTTCGTTAATTAAATATGCACATTTGGAATGACCAATGAATATTAACTCAAATAAAAAATAAGTGCATCCAAGGCCAAACCTACCTCTTTTTCCACCACTCGTAGCACCACTTCCACCTTTTCCTTCAATGAAAATGCGCTGGTTTTGTCTGTTTCTACTATATCTGAGAATTAAGAATATACTTAGACCATGACAGAGTCCTTAATAATTACAGTTTTAACGCAATAATTAAAATGTATTTTGTAAACATATGCTTAACTTTAAAAAGATACTATAAGTATATTTTTCTCCAGCACCACTCTAGCGTAGGTCATTGTTTATCTTCTTCTTCTAACAGCTCACACCGTTACTTGTTAGGCTGACTCCAACGGCTACAAGGGTAAGACGCTTCCAAGCGGCGCGGTCTGATGCCATCGTCGACAGTAATGGAAGCCATTCTTTTTTCCATCGTCTAAGTCCATATATTGCTGGTCCACCTATACGTTCAAAATCACATCGTATCAGTCCAGGTCATGATTGGCCCACCTCGCTTTTACGCCACGGTTTAGCAAATATGCGCGCACTCCTGTGGAGAACGACGGAGAATGCGTCTTAGCCAGGGAAGGAGGCGCTCTGTGTTAACATTATTTATGCAAGTGGTATTTGAACGAAGATGGATGCGATTCTTGTGATATTTTATCCACTCGACTAATATGTACCTTAGACAAGAGTGGTCAAAGGCAGATAATATCCTCCACTCTCATTGGCTATGTCTCAGAACCATATAACCAATGCGGACTTTCGTTTTATGGTGGTTTCACGACTATTCCATAAAGGTCTCGTCAACTGGAAAAACATATTTTCAGCTGCCGTGATCCGAATTGTAATATCATCTTTTGCCTGTCCATTTGGTATCAGAGTGGACGCAAGGTATTTGAAATCAAGTATTTCCTCAACCAGCAATGAATTTATAAAAAGAGGCATTTTATCAGCTTCTTGCACATAAGAAAAGACTTTCGTTTTATTTACATTGATCCTGTATCCGATTCTTCAGTTTCTGAACACATTATTTAGTATTACTTGCATTTCATTATAACTATTAGCAAAAAGTACTACATCATCAGCGTATTCAAGATCTGTGATACGATACTCTGGACTAATTCGGACACCTCTTGTTCAGACAAACAGTGTCCATTATCCAGTCTATCACATAGTTGAATATTGTGGAGAAAGGACGCAACCCTGACGGACACCTGTTCTTATTTCGAATGAGTCTATCAGTTCCCCATATACACAGACCTGCGCCGACATAAGCTCATAAAATGCCCTTATGAGTCTAATGATTTTCTCTGGAATGCCGTCACATTCCATCACCCTCCAAAGCGCCGCTCTATCAACTGAATCAAAGGCAGCCGCAAAATCGATGAAACACGTGACAGTGGGTTGCAAATATTTGAAGCGATGTTCCAATGCCCTTCTTAATGTGAATATCTGGTCAGCAGAACCGCATCCTTGTCTGAATCCAGCTTGATTAGGGCGCTATATTTCCATATATCCCGTACTTCCACAAGTCTATTGAGTAAAAAAATCTTCGCTGAAACGTCTAGTAGGCTGATTCCTCGAAAATTGTCGCAGTATATCCTCTCACCTTTCTTGAGAACTGGGAGCAGAATTGCTTTGCTCCAATCATCTGGTAATTTCTTTTTTTCTTTTTTTCATACTAAAGAGTACATTTTGTTAAAGGTGCGTTATGAAGGACGATGGACAGCATTTGTAAAGCTTAGCCCGAAGACTATCTTCTCCTGGAGTTCTCCTGGAGCTTATGTTTGTCTGAATAGCTGCAAATTAAGGTTGAATGGAAGTTGAATGGAAATTAAATCGGTCAAGAAGAGAAATTTTGTAGCTGAATCTGAATTTCCTGAATTTCGCTTTGTATTTCCAGAGGATTTAAAAGGATTATCAGAAGATAATATTAATATTATTATTATGCAAGAAGTGGTAAAATTATCAGTCGGCCCATTTTTATTTTTTCTTGCTTCATCCTTAAAAGACAAAATTGCTAATTCAAAATTACTGACGTTAAACTGCTAAATTACTTTAAACTTTTAATTTATCATCACATTTTCATTTTTATTTTTATATTTTTATAAGAAAAAAAATTAATAGCAATCTCTTGGCCATATCATTTTTTCTTATTGGTTTTGCTCATTATTTCTCATTTAACTAACTTCATTAGCTGTTGAAATATCGTTTTGCCAGTTACTTTGAGAAAGAGATATGAATGGGTCCTCAGCACCACCTTAGTTCCACTTTTAATGATGAACTTTCTTATAATTAACAACAATTAAAAGAAAGGCTATTTTCAACATAGCAGCGCCATTGAATGAATAATATTGACTAAGTTTCTGAAGTTTTCACCAGTTTTTATTCAGAAAAGATAATAATTATAATAATTATCAAAAGGAAAAAGAGACTATGAGTACGACTAACTTAATGTGCTTTAAACGATTACATATAAGTAATTCCTACTGCCTAATTCCTTCCTAATTCCTACTTCCGGGAGAGATTAATTATTTTATTACCTATTCCTATTGCCTCTTATCCTTATATTTATTCTAAAGCGCTAATGCAATTTATAAATAATTTTAATTTATAAATAATTTATAAATAAGTTGCATAATTTAAAAGCAAATAAAAAAATTAAAACTTACATCAAAATTAATCACTAAAATTGCAACCTAGGAATCTGTGCGAATTAAAACTTTTCAAGAAATATAAGAGGAGCGTTGTGATATTTCAAAGTCTAATAACATATAAATCAATTTACATTGTGAAATGTTATGGAAAAAACTTAAAAATTAATTAAAGCTTATTCATCATATCTCAACATATTTGGAAAAAAAAGTTTAAGGTCGCTTAAAGAGTATACGAATCAGTTAATCTTTTTTTTGAAATATCGCACTGAGAATGGCAAATATTTCAATCTCTTTGAATATTGAATAATAGCCTTAATTTTTTTGGAAAATTATCAAGCACGACTCTAGGCTATGAATTATTTGGCTCAGTTTTGATAAGTTGATAATAAATATAAAATGTGAAGAAATTATCAACAATAAGTGGCAATAAAACAATAAAAAATGTTATCAAAATTTAATATTAAGTAATGAAAATTTCAAGGATTAATAAAGGACCAATAATTCAATTTATTCTTAAAAATAGATGTGGTAAAAAATGAGGTTATTTTATTTTCTTCCATTAACATCTCACCGGCCATTAATATATTTTTTAAATAACGAATATTTAACTTTAACTTTTCATATTTGCCTTTTTTTTAACTGAATTTTACTGAATTTTTTAAAGAATATATCCATAAAATTAATTCGATTTTATTTCTTTTGTTTCTTTATGATGATCTAATTAGATGAAGCTTTTTTATTTCATTCGATTTATAAAATATCGCTTAAGCAATGAATTTATCATTTTTGGTTAGACTCGCTCAACTGGTTTGTGGGAGCAAACAGTAATAAACTTGGAGTTCTTTAGATATAGAAGTGCGAATTACCAACACTGCTCGGATTTGTTCGTCTAATGAAAAAGGATATGATAGAAGATATTTTAATTAAAATATAACTTTAAAAATATATATATGTATATAATGCATAGAATCATTTATGATCATTTTTCATTATATATTCATTGAATACTTTTTTAAAATCCATTTTAGCAAAGCAAAAATTAAATCACCTCAAAATTTTTTTTGTATTTTCCACAGATTTTTATTCGTCGACTCTTATCAGTAGATTATGACTGGATAAAGATTTATACATATTTCATATCGTCGACATTTTCGTTATCTCGATTAATTTCGCCTAGAATAAGAGAGTGCCAACCGTACTAAGGACCTATTTTTTTAAACAACTAACTCTCTGGTCGTGAGTTCGCATCTGAATAGACAGTATAGCTGAAGTGATGAGTGCTGTTGGGCTATGCTCTCAGGAGAAAGAGTGATGAACATTTGTCAGTGGAATAGTACAGCTTTTTTGTCACTTCCGTTCGTTGCTTTGTATTGAGCATTGTATTGTTTTCTGAGTGGAATCATCATTTTGTGCTGTAAATGTGAAGTTTGAAGGACTAAATCACCTTCTTTTGCAGCTACTCGTTGATCTTATCATCGCCAATCTCCTATGAATTTATTTGAATTTTTTTATTCAAATGTTTTTTTAGCGAATAAATTGAAATCTTTCGATTTCAAATGCTCCTTTTATCTTTGCACTAAGAAAAAAAATAATGAAAATTGTTGAAAATTTTTTAAAATATTTGCTCATACAGTTTTTTCCTTGGATGCTAAATGTTTTCATATTTTCATATTGAGTAATTTGAGAATAAATGAAATTAAAAGGTAAAAAAAAAAGTTGAAGTGATACTGCTCATTTGAAATAAGGAAAATTATAAATTTATGGAAAATTGCTAAAGGTGGTCAATTGTCAATTGCAGGCCACAAAAGTCTTCTTTCTTCATCTTCGTCCGGCCAAAACTGCTGGTTAGTCCCACTGGTTACGACTGGTTAGCGTTTCCAAACTCGTTGATCCGATATCGTATCTTCTGTATGTCCTACGAACGATCTTTACGAATTTCCTAAAAAATTTTCTTTTTTGAGCATAAATTAATTTTAATAATAATAATAAGTTCAGCAAATTTTATTCAAAAAATCAATTTTTAATTTTTCTTTTAATTTTTTATGATTTTTTAAATTTACAGAACCTCCAATCTTTAATTTTTTTTTAAATTTCTAAATTTTAAATTAATTTTTAAATTTCTAAATTTTTTCAATGGTTAGCTCAATAAACTTTTTTTTTTGTTTGCTTGAAAAATAGAGACTATAATTGTTTTGCATTTCTTTATATATCACCGATATATTGAAAAAATTTTAGATGAAATATTTTTGAAGCCAAATAACTATGTTGGCAAACAAGGAAACCATAAGCCATATTGCCAAATTCAATCTTGCAAAAACACAAACCGCAACATAAAGTCGAATGTATTGGTTAATATGTTTGATATGTTTGACACATGTTTTATGTGATACGACAAATATGACGAAAACAGCATATGATTTCAAAGTTCGATCATTCCTATCATTTATGTATGTTCATTCATTGATTTGATCCATCGAGAAATAAATCAAATTAAAATATTTTGCTTGCTCTTCAGTTTGTTTAATTTTCAACTTTTTTTCGATGTCCATTGATTTTTATCCGGTAATAACGATTATTATTAATGGATTATTATGAAGTTGCTTAATACACTTATCATATCGTTGATATTTGTATATATATATATATATATATATATATATACATATACATATACATATATATAATATGTAAGCGCATAATTATTTAGAAATATATGTTATTTGGAAATCCGGGTTATGCTGGCGATTCACCTGTATTTCTATAGCCAAGGGACTCCGTGGTATATTTGTCCAGTGCGACAAGCTAGCGGAGCGAGTTTAATTAATAATGGTGAAAACTCTTTAAAAAAAAAATTATTTAGAAATATTTGATAATGATTAGAACGAAAATAGAGAAATCGTAATTCATTGTTGTAGTTGAGGTTTTAATATTTTTTAGCGAACTTACTTGAACAGCTACAACAGTTGATAAAATTGGGTTCAAAATAAAATTAGATCTATAGTCATTACCAAAAGTCCTTTCATTAATTCTTCCAATGGTCGTTAATTCATTATTACTGTAAAATATTACTGTAAAATCTATCAATAATATTAAAAAGGGAATCAAGAATGTTATCACATATCATACATTACATTTCTTATTTTTATCATAATAACGAAATATATTAAATCTCGCAAAATTATTTGTATTTTAATTGTAAAGATGAAAATTTGTCGAAAACATCTTTTCAAGTGGTTGCAGTGCTTTTTTTCTAGGTGAAGTATAATAAGTTTAAGATTTTTCATTTTCATATTTAAAGATTGCTATCTTAGCAAACTTTATCGAAGCTTTTTTTAATCTTTTTTTCTAGGAGCACTCACTCTTTGAGCTGCGCTCGTTTTGTAAGCTTATTTAAGTAGACCGATTTCCTCAGGCAATCATTTGGCGATAGAAGTAGAGATGTTGCCAGCATCATTCAGATTTTTGAAAGGCTTTATTCTTCTTATTCAGCATCGACCTTCCAAAATACAATAACCTACTGCAAAAATGTACAAAAATATTTTTTAATAGGAGGAATTTCTTTTTTCTATTCAGCGATGTTTTTATTAATGTATCCAGAAATGAATAAACCGATTATAAAAACATGCATCGGCGAGTTTTTATGCAATGATTTCTCTCAATTTGGAATTAGTCTATCGATTCGTTAAATTTTAATTTTTGGAATCAGTCGAGTAAAAAGCATCAAAGTTTTCGAAATGCTTTAAACTTTTCTTTTCTAACAATTCCTTTAAGAACCGTTATCATTTCCGATTTCTGACTCATTCCGCCAGTTGTCATGGGTTACATAATAATAGAAATACAAGAAAAGTGAATCGTCAGCACTATCCGAATCCGTTTTATGGAGTTCAATTATAGCATCAACCAGTTCGTCGTACGATTATAAATATTTCCGATGATGTTCTCAAATTTATTTTATTCAATTTATTCAACAAATTTCTATTATATTAAACTTTAACAATGCAACTACAAAATGACCGGTCGCATCGTTGACTCGATTAGCAAATATTGTAAAATTTATAAATAAGAAATTTATTTATTTTCGTTCGACTAATAAAACTTATAACCAACTACTGGTGAAATTCATCTTAATTATTATATTATGTTATATATCCATTGTGACATGCTTATTTGCAATATAATGCGAGAGAATTCCTGGAAATCATTTTTCTTCCATTTTTCTTAAATCATTGTTTTTTCCTGATTATTCCTGTGCTGCATGGTACTTTGTGCTATTTTTTATACGAACATTTATGTACATTTATGTACAACAATATACATAATAAACGTGATGGTCTTTCGTTTCATTTAGATATGGCTGCTACTACTGTTCTAAATAAAAATGAAATAAGCAAGAAGTTAAGCCCACGAGCAGCATTTGTTCATAAAACTTTATCTGAAGACTATCCTGGCCTCGATTATCTCGGTATGAATAGCGTATTAACTGCGAAACATCGCTGGTACATCATCTTGTGGTTTACAATTCTTTTTATTCTCCTTACTGGAAGCATTTTTACAGTTTATAGGTTTGCAAGTTTTTAATGCCTATAAATCAACTATAATTACATTAATTAATTTTATTTCAACAAAAATAAAACAATTTGAAATGAATATTAAGGTTGATCAAGGAATATATCGAACGTCCAACTTCCACTCGTATTGTATTAAAATCGGTAAGCGAGTAACGAAGTATTCGATAAAAATATTTTTAAAAAATAAAAAGTAATAGACCAAAAAAATTAGAGTTCTTAAAATTCTCTCTATCATCTCTATTGGACGGAAATATAATATTTTTTAACTAACGTCTATGAAAAAAACATTCAGTTGGGAATCTTAAATCAAGGATCGTGCAAATGATCCTTGCATTCGAAACCAATTTTTCCTGAGGTGAAAAGAGTTATACATATATATATTTACTTTTCTATTGTATTGCATTATTTAATGTTGTAATATTTAATATAATAGTATTAATATTTAAAATTTAATATTTAAAATTCTTGAATTAGGTGGAAAAGCTGTTGTTACCACAAGTTACTATTTGCCCAACAACTCCAATGACTGTTGATGTTGCACGCCTTATGTTTGTTATGCGATCGAATCCACAATTTAGAAATCTGGAAAACAAGACTATGGTGGATTTTACATATTTTATGTTAGCGGGAAGCGGTTTCCAGGTGAGAATTTCTCTAGCCAACTTTCAAAGTTTTCACAATTTTTTTCCATGTTTTGCCAAATTAAATGTAAGCTACTCAGAAATATGCTTTATTTCTTTTTTATGCTAAAATTTTCATTTGCTACTATATTTAAAAAGTAAAAAGTAATAAAAGTAATAAGTAAAAGTAATATAAAAATAATAGTAAAAGTAATAGTAATATTTAATATTTGAACGTTTTTTTAAAATCATGCACCAGTTTCTTCTTCTAATGGTAGTTTATAGATAAATAAGCACTAACTCTATCCATCATTCTAAATATCTTCAATTCTTAAAAATAAGATGGCTTTTCTCAACTAAATTAATCATGGGATTGCTTTATTCTTTTATTTTTCACTTAATTTTAATATTTAAGAAATTATATTTAATTTTTACCATAAAAATGAGCAAATTATCTCATTTAGGCCACCTATTTTTTAATACGTTTCTCTTCATATGGAAATTTTTGCCCAATAATCGTTTTTTTTTTTAAATTGAGAAGCATAATAGTTCAAGAAACTTTGAATTTCTATACGGAACGCTTTATTGGCTTATCACGCGTATTTTTATCATATATTTAGAAGATGGATATGTTAATTGCGAGGTGGAATGAAAGTTATATAAATTTTTTAACTGCAATTTATGATACCATGCGGAATGAATTGGATACAAGAACCTTTTTCTATAGGGTTTGTAGTTTTTTTTAATGAAATATATGAATGATTTTAAGCTTCAAATATCAATTAATTAAGTCATTTAATTCCGAAGATAGCATTTAAATACTGATCAAAAACCAGGTTGGCCGAAATTTTAATGTGATAAAGAGCCGTTTCAATAAGCTTTTTATCCTTTTTTTCACGTTGCTTGACTTTAATTTATCATTTGTCCATTCTAAATGTAAAATAAAATAAGCCTAAAAAGATAAATCTTAAAATTTGCTTTTTCAGTTTTTTGATTCTTTTGGACTGCAATGCCATGACCTTTTCCAGTACTGCAAATTAGGATCCGATGTATTAAACTGCTGTGATGTAATAATTTTCCATTGAAAAAAAAATTTGCTTTTTGACAATTTCGCCCATACTTTTAAAGTAATGCATATAATTTTTGTTTTTCTGGTTAGACTCGCTTCGCTGGCTTCTATTTTGCCAAACAATCATAAAATAATCATAGAAGTAGGAGTGAATCATAAGCATAACCAGGATTTTTGAAGAATAGTTTCAGCCTTGCCTGGAATAAAATTTTTGCACCGATAGTACTTCAAAATAAAAAATAATTCATTATTCTAGAGAATTTTTAGAGAAATCTTAGAGAATTTATGATATATTCTTTAGCTTTTTTTCATCAATAGAGAATAAATAATTTATAAAAATTTGCTTATTTCCATAGGGATGTGGTGAATATGAGAAAATTGTTTAGATTTTCATACCTGCTTATACTATTCGAAGAGGGAAATGCTTTAAAACGGTCCAATCATTGTACCAAACAAATCAAGATGAACTTGGAAAATTCAGGCTTCAAATTAGATTGCCAAAAGTAATGGACGTGATTCCTAAACAAGTATGTGTCGTTGAAATATGTTCACTAGGTTTCCTTGATAAATCCTCGATTATATCATTGGTTTACTTCATGTGCTTCTGAATTCTTAGTTAAATCTTTACATAAAAGTAAGCAAAGTTAGCAATTTTCTTCTTTAACATATTTTACAAATGAATTTCGCCATCACATTTTCTGCTCTCTTCTGTTTCTACTTTTAAGAAGCCATGGGCTACAATTATCAAAAACTACATATGGGAATAGCATATGATACATGAATTATACTAAGCTTTTCAGGACCAAATCTTGCTTTTCATTGGCGAGGCAAAGCCAGAGATCGAACCTTATCCTCGTTATTACCTATATTTTCAACAGTATGCTAAAGTGCGATTAGCAGCACGCCAATTAAATCTTTTGCCGGGAACGGAGGTTTTTTTTTAGTAATAAGACTGCAAAATGTCCGCCATTTATATAAATAACTATTTCAGCATTGTAGCAATGAATATGCGAACGTTGGTACTGCTACGTGTTATCTAATCAAGTGGATAGTTGATAATTTGGAAAAGCCGTTCAATTGTACTTATCCATATATGGATAAAATTAGGAATACAAGTTTACCCAGGTAGACCTGCAATCATTTTATTGCATTTCTTTATTTCTTAATGCTCCACTTTGTCAAAATCCACTATGAACACACAATGTAATCTAATCCTGTCGTGATATCCTTTTGTTAAGCTTGCCTTACCTCTCGCTTGCGTTCTGATTGGTAAAATTCTAAAAATCTATAATGTAATAGTTATTTCATTCTATCTTATCAAATTGTCATTTCGAGATTTTCTTCATATTTTGTCCAATGCATCAAGCAGAAGTAACGGAAGTAACCCACATCTATTATTGAAAAATTTAAGTGGTCTATCTGCCCCAAAATAACTCTCTGAATATTTTAGCCTAATAGTCAGCAGAAAAAAAGCTGGAAACGATGAAAAATGATGAATCATGATTTTTTTAACTAGAGACTTTTTTTATTATAAGTAAGTAAGTAACTTTTCATTCTTTTTTCAGTTGCGATGCAGAAATAATTGTCAAAAATTATAAAAAGACGGTAAACGCGGAAGGAAACAATATTCACGAGGTTCGTAATAAAACAATATTTCACCCTTTAAGATTCGTTAAAGTAAATGGCTAATATCAAATTAATGTCCCATAGGGTATTTTCTATTACCATAAATATGCTCAATGCACCAAGTAAATATGTTGCATTCATGGATTTAGGAAAGTTTTATTCCTCATTCATGGATTTAGAAAAGTTTTATTCCTCATAAAGACCAGTTTTCTGGGTGAACTTCAGCTTTTTGATTGAAAATTGCCCAAAATTTGCTTCAACAAACTATTCAAAAAATTATAAACCATTTTTGCATACTTGAATTATTTCTCTTATTATTTATGATCAATTTAATATAACTTATAAAAATTATGAAAATAGTATTTCAGTATTGTTTGCATAAAAGTCTTTCTATTTCTTCTGGTAGTCTTTGATATCTGATTTGGTATCTGATTTTAGTGCATATTGTCGTGTAAACGATGGCAATATTTCGTCGATCTAGATCGAACTCTAGGACCATCGAAAGAAGATTCTGGAGGCTTGGAAGATTATAAATTCAGGTATTCTATTATTCTTCCTTTTCAGATATAAACAAGGGAGATTTTTTTCCTTAAATTAAAAATATTATATTAAATTGCAAGTACTAGTTATTTGCTTTGCATAATTTTTTTCTGTCTGCACTAACTGCAGTAGTAATTATGAAAAAATTATTTTAAACGATATCATCAGATCACTATGATCATTATAATATATTAAAATATCATTACTTAGATGGTTATCACCACAAATATTATATTGTCACCTAACGGAACATAAAGGAAAACGACATCTATCACCATTGTGATAAGATGATTTTGTAATAAAAAATGTTGGAAGAAGACCAATGTCAATAAAAGCCCTGAGAAATCGATGTGATTTTGTGATTTTACGATAATATCATTAAATTACGTCTTTAGAGTCGACTTATCTTATGATAATTTACAATATGAACAACTTTCTGAAATTTACATATTAACAGCATTCGGTTTACTCGCACAAATTGGTGGACAGGTTCTTTTCTATTTTTTAAATTTTAAATTTTGAATGTTTTTTGATTAATATCGAAAACGATCAATTTTAAAATAAATAATAAGTTTATCATTTGCTTCATCAAAATAGAAAATTCAGGAGCGAATTTTTCTATATTTAAAATTACAATTTTTTTATTTTCATTTTCCTTGCCAATCAAAAATCGATCGAAAAAAACCATTTCTTAAAACTATTTTTAATAATTTTTAATGAAATGATCTTTTTACAAAAGGGAAATCTTTCGAGAGAAACCTTGCCAGGTTTTACAAAGTGCTTTTATAGAGAGAAGAAAATGGATAGAGAAGCGACAGGTTCAAAAAATTAAAGCTATATTTTACCATTACAGATAACAATAATTTTTTTGCATATTTCAGCTTTCATTGTTTCTTGGTACTTCTATCTTGGGGCTGATTCAAGTTACTCTTATGGTAACTATTTTGTGCAAACGAACATTGAAAAGAGCCTTCCATCCAGACTCGTATGAAGCAAGAATAGGCGCTTATAATCCTGGTTTAATTTTTCCTCAAGGAGAAACTCCTAATAATGTTTCATACATAAATATTCAGAACAGTCGCAGAAGCTCGTTTGAACCGAATACAAAAAATCTCTCAAAGAACGAACAAAACCGAAAAGAAACCTTAATCACTTGAATAGCCTGTGGAAGTCCTTCTTCGTAGTCCTCCACATTGTTTTTTAACTCTTAAAATAAAATATTTGCAATAGTGGAAAATCATTTGTTATGAAAATATCATTGATTTTTATTTATCTTAAGTATTGCAGGTTTAATTTACCTTTAATGATCTGCATTCATAAAGAAACTGTAATTTTTAGTGAAATGGTGGTAAAAATAGTGATGGAAATTCTTTCCCTTCACCCATTCCAAATTTTTAGAACTATTAGAATGAACTATGCTTATCAGTTATCAGTTAAATTATTCGAACATATCGTATCGTATTTTGAATTACCACAGCCTAAAATATACCAATCATGGTTTTTTTATCGGAACTATTGGTTTTTTGTTCATTCATTTTTTCAATATCGATTTTTAAAAACTTTAGGAAATTTTACGAACCATTTCTTTCGAATTTATAAGTTAGTAGTAAGTAAAACTTTTCATAAGCAAATTAAAAGAGATGTAAACTGAAATATTTTTAAGAAAACCATCTCATTAATTAAATGTTAATTTCTAAAGAAATTTTAGATGTCTTTTGATAAAATAGATAAGTGAATTATCGAAAAAAACTTTAGAATTGAGATATATGGCAATTTTTGATTTGTCGTAGCTTCAACCAATCTCTTAAAAGTTTACTGAAAAGCAAAAACTGCTTTAATTTTTCGATATGCGAGAAAACGCTGTAATGCAAAAAAAGGAACCTTTATCGTTTTTTTTTCATTTTCTCTATTTTATTATTTTACAATTTATAATTCTTTACAATTTTAATATTTATGTACTATTTGGAATTGATCTGTTTGTTTAAAATCCGAAATCATTCTTTATTTATTTAGATGTCTTTTCAGTTTTTTAATTAATTAGCGGTAGGCATTCAATATTTTTAGAGCCTTGTCGCACTGGTTATTAAATCCCCATATTTTCGCCCGAGAGCCACTTAAGTAAAGTAAATATAGATAAATCTCCAATATTTTCTTGATTTTTCAATAGCGATTTTATCTATACTCTCATTATGAAGCAAACTACTGGCAAGAAATGATTATCTGGTGATATTTGCTACGAATATTTAAAACGAATATTTCCTGCAAAATTTCATCGCAAGTGTACATATTTTATCTTATTATATATAAAATAAAAAAAAATAAAAATTTATTTTTATGAACAAGTATGAACAAAAAATTTATAAATGACCGTAATCATTATGAAATATATCAATTTGCAATAAAAAATTTTGGAAATAGTATTCTTTCCACGTTATGGAATTAGTGCATCCATGTAGAACTGATAAACAAATCAAGGAAATACAATTGAATAATCACTAAAACATTATTAGTTGAATCGGGCATTTAAAATATTTCAACCCAAATTATTCTACGATGTTAAAAATGATAATACCATTGGATATGTAGCATCAAACGGTATAGCATTTTATATAATGTAATGGTTGGCCAGTTTATAAAAAAATGAGGCTGCGACACCAAATTGCCTCTTTTTCAATCCTGGAAATCAAAAAATTGTTTAAAAAATTTAGTTATAATTTGTGAAAGACGTCTACAAACGTTTTCAAAAATATGCTTAACCCATCAAATATTCCTTTAAAAGACTCGAAAGCTTTACTTTTTGCCATAATCCATGGTAAAGTTTTTTCACTTTTCATGCCTCTCCTTGAAGATTTTAATGTTTAACATTTTCCATTCTCATGATACTTTTTTACCTTGAACGAATGTAACCATAAAGTATAATTGAATGGTGATATTAGCTGGAATTGGTGGAAGGGGAATATGTATGCTGAAAATAATGAAAGGTGTTAAAAGATATCGATGGAATGCATGAAAAGTTCAGGAACGGTTTGATGAATTTGAAGAGGCATATTTTTCGGCTACATTGGCCATAAAACAATATATCTTATCTGCAATATATTCTAATTATCAAATGATAGGTTTACTCCTGCCGAGAGTAAATCTCAACACTAGCGTCCCGAATTGAACACTAAACGACTTAATCATTATATTATATTGCCGTTCAACGAAGAGTGGTGCGTCAGTGGATTCGAATCCAATCCTCGATACTCGGTGCAGTTGTTACTGAACCACCAAGGCACCATTAAAAAAAATAATTGTCATATAAAAAAAACAAAAAAACTTGCTATTAAGCATTTTAATGCACATCACTTTTAAGCAATTCGAAAAATTTTAATGGAAATTATAGCGCTAGTAGCAATGCAAATTTAGATGCAGTTAATAGAAAGTCTGTGATTTCCGTTCCAATAGAAATTTGAAACTAATGCAAAGTACCACAGTGGTATGAATATTCCCTCCTAAATTTTTTCATATTAGATCGTAAAATTATTTATTTAGTTCCAATCTCAAAAATTGTTTTCTGAAAGATAACTGAATCTAATCTTCTTTCTTTGGTCTATTCTTCTTAAAATTTGCAAAAATTATTTCAAAAAATGTCTCATCTTATGTATTTAATTCATTATTTGCATAACTGTTGTCGGTAAAGTTATTTATGATATATTTCTCTTCACTGAAGGACACTCTCATCGTTAATTGCGAAAGTCGATGCATTCATCTTTTCTAAAAATGGCGAAATTAACATACATTTATACAACATGCAATTACAATCTGAGCTTTAAACTCAAAAAAATTCTTTTCTCTTTTATTATTCATCATTTAACCATTTATATTTTTAAAAATTATTTTAGGCAATAAATCTGTTGGTAGAGACCGGAATAGTGGAAGATTAATTTAAAGATTAACAACAGATTAATTTGGAATGTAACAACAACGGTCCGAAACCACAACCAATTCGCTCTGTTTTTCCTACGAGGGCTTCTGAAAGCTTATCTATCCTACCTCAATTTCTCAAGCCTCTAGTAGAGGACCAAACGTTGAGGATGACTCACCTCATCTACACAGGGGGTGGGAAAAGGATTTATATACGGAAAGGCTTGTTCTAGCGACCCAGTATTTCTTTTAATACCAAGTAATTCCATAGTAAAAATTCCTAAACATATAACGGAGCAAATTTAACCAAAAATGGTGGATACTAATCGCACTTTTTTCATGACAACTTATAGCCTATTGTAAATTTTCAGGCATAAAATTCCTTCAGATTCTTGAAAAATTGTCCTTAATGCGAAAAAAGTTTAGTTTGTCCGCGATGATCTGCCGGTTCGATTTAGAAATATAGAAAAGAAATTTTTTAGGAACAATTTTGGAATAATTTTTGCATAAAAAATTCTGTTGAATACAATATTTTATGATGAAATGTACGAGAATGATTGGAAATGAAGAAGAGTAAATAAAGGATTCTCTAAATTTCCCCCATTTTATATTCAAATCTGGCTTTAAATAAATTTTTATTTCTCTCATATAATAAAGCGGTTGAATATCAATTATTTAAGAAAATTCTTTAAATGTGAAGAATTCCATATATTTTTATAAAATTAAGCGAAACCAATCTTGACAGCCAAGCATTGTTTCACTAGCCATTAATCAATATCTAAAATTTTAAGGTGCAATTGAAAGAAGCTGATAAAATTATCACTTGATTTGTTCTTTGCTTTGCTAGTTATTAACCAACAACTAGTCAATTATCACTGAACAAGTTGATACAAATATTAGAAAGAAAAATTTTGCGGTCTTTTTAATAATTGTTTATAGAAAAAAAGATGACTGATGGAAGGATTGAATCATTATCGTTATTAAATCGAGAAAAAAACGTGGTAATTTCGCTCTTTACTCATAATTAACTTAAAATAGGACGAATGAAATTCATCGCAAAACCGGTCAACTAATCAGTCAAATTGGTTAAGCGCATTTTTTCTTTCATCTATTTCAAAATTTTCTGAAATCTCAGTTTTGAGTTTGCCATGCGAAACCAATAACATATATCCACGATTTACGAAAATTTCAATCCCTGCGACACTGATTTTATTAATGTTGAAACTACACACGCCTAGTAAAATTTTAGAGATTTTTTCAAGAACTAATAATGATTTTATCTCCATATTTGCGCGATTTCGTCTTTTTCTAACAGCTCACACATTGGTTAAGCAAAGATTTCCAAGCTGAGCGATCTGGTGCCATCGTTGATAGAATCCATTTCTTTTCCCATCGCCTAAGACCATATATAGCTGGAATACCGTTAAAAATTACGCGATTTACTCATCTAAAATTAGTCATCTAATTAAAATTTCAGCGTTAAGCAATAAATCGAATAATATGTGAGAATGAGAACTATTGAAATAAAACTATTGCAAATGAAAGTTTTCCTTGTAAATTTGCATGAGAATTGAATTTTAAGAGTAATAGTTGAAATTTATATTAAGTTGTTTCTATTGCATTTTGTCAAATCTTTTCGAGTGGTGTTTCTATCACAGTGAAGGAAATCCTATCAGACTCCGTCTATGGAATAGAATTTTTCCTCATTCATTCGTTTCTCTTGACCTAATTGTTTTTTTTTTCACTTCGATAAATGATTCTATTCATTTTTTTTGAAAATTTTTCGAAAATTTTATAAGTATTTATCTACTGCTCTTCGAGCAAATCAAAAATTTCTTACTACTTGAAGGTAGTTGACCACTTTTTTAATTAATAAATAGCAAATTCTTCTATTAGCTCAATGCCGTTGCTGGCTTAATTCATTCGACTGGTGATAAGGGGTTGCTTCTAAGTCGCGAAATCAGATACCAAAGTAATTATTCTATTGTTTTTTACCTATCCAAGCTAAGCTGTCATATATCGTTAGGCCGCCTAATTGATATAGTAGAATTTAGATATTATTGATAAAAGATGGAATTTATCAATCGGATATTTTTATTACGCAATTTGGTCAATAGTGAACCATAAATGAATATTTTTTGAATGAAACGAAATTAGGTCATATGAGGGAAATGCTTTGTAGACATTTGGCTCAACAACCGCCCATTTAACCTAAAAATGATTATTCACACTCTCATAAATATTAAAGAATATGCAACTTCGTGATTGCGTGATTCAAATTTTGGTGGTTAACGACATATAGCACTTGTACTTATCTGAATTTTTCCATTTTCAGTTGTCCGTTTTTCGATACAAAAATTCTCATTTTTTCTTATTATTTGTATGATTTGAGGAATGCTTTTCATTGCAATAAAACAAAAAGTATGTAAAGAAACTGCAAGAAAAATTTCACTTTGTAAAAAATAATTTTTACTTCGAAATTTTCCTGAAATGAAATGAAAATTTCTTCCGAAATTTTTATGAAAAAAATTGTTAAACCATTTAAAAAAAGTTAATTTTATATCTATAACGATCATTTTTTCATGCGTTTTATTTTACTATCGTCCTCAGACTTATCTATCGTAATTAAGGTTTTATCGAGGTCAATTAAAGTTTGTCGATAGAGGTTTGAAGATTTTAAAATTTTAGGCGAACTCGGCTTATTTCTATAAGCCAAGGAATGATTTTCGACGGTTTTAATGCTATTATTTTTTCCTTTTTTTTTTCAATGATAAATTTTCAATCGCGATTTAATTCAACAATTTTTGAATAGCTAATACTTTTGCTTCTCAATTTCATATATTATATGTATTATTGTATTATATATAATTTCTATGTATAAATAGATTTATTTAATAATTTGTCCAATTTTAAATATTCATTCCAAGGGATCTATTTTCCTTAGTTCAACATATGACTTAGAGAAATGAACCGAAAGCCTAACGTTCTCCTCAGACCAATGGCCTTTGTTTTAAGCAATTGCAAATAGCTTCTTTTTCTGTAAGCAACCTAAATCTTATTTCAACTATTTCCTATTAGTTTGTTGATTATTAATTTCCATTACTAATATTCTGTTGATCATGCGAATCGTTTTCAGGACGACGTATGATTATCTGTTTTTTAAAAGAAATTGCCATTTTGTTACTCTTCTTAAAAGGTTGGTACTTTTTTCGACTGCATTAAATATATTACAGTAATGCTTTTGCCTTTATTCGCAAACAATTTTTGAAAAATAAAAAATTTGAGAAAAGATTTGATGGTATTTTGGTAAAAAACGATTATCTCAAACAGTTTTAAAGTTGTTTTTTCATTTTAATTTTAAATTTTAAAAGTACAAAACAATGATAGAAAATTCTTTATCGAAATTTCTGCGTTACATTCCTTTTTGCAAGGTTGATTGCTTTATTTTTCAATGATTGATTTTCGAACATTAATATTATATTTCATATGTCAATTATCAACTGTAAAATTTTGTTTGTTGATTTGATAAATTCTGCGTTTTCCGGATTTTCTGACTTTCTTTTTTTTGCATTCTTCTTCTTTCTTCTAATAGCTCTCACCATTACTGGTCAGGCTGGCTCCGCTGGCTACAAAGTCTCCAAGCTGCTCGGTCCGATGCCATTGCTAGCAGTAATAGAAGCCATTCTTTTTCCATCGTCTAAGTCCTCGCTGGCTGGTCCTCCTATAAATCAAAATCTTTCCTACCTGTATCAGTCCAGGTCTTGACTGACCCTCCTTGCTTTTTGACGCCAACGGTCACAGGATTTAGCAAATAACGAAATATGCTTCAACTCCTGTGGAAGATTTTTTTAAAAGAGTTTTCACCATTACTGGTTAAACTCGCTCCTCTGGCTTGTCGCATTGGGCAAATATCCCAGGGATTCCTCGACGATAGAAAAATAGGTGAGTCGTCAACATCACCCGGATTTTTGGTCAGATTTATTTCTGCGCAAAATAGAACCTAAGTATCCCACTCCGAATTGAGCAACAACCCACTAAGCCATTCCTATAAGATGCGGAGAATATGCCCTAACCAGCGAAGGCGACACTCTGCGATAATATTAATATTATTATTATTATTAATATTCTTAATACAGATGGTATTTGAGGGAAAATAAATACAATTATTTGCGATTTTACCCGCTCGACGGATCCGTAAAATGTGTCTTAAACATGAATGACCAAAAGCTAAAAAGTTTCTTAATATTTTTTCACTCTCATTAGCCATGTTTCGCAACCCTATAGCAAGATTGAAAGAATTGCAGCTATATGGACACAGATTTTCATCTTAATGGTGATTTCACGACGGTTCCATAAAGGTTTCATCAACCGAAAAAATATATTTCTAGTTGTCTTATCCGGGTTATAATTTCATTCATTCTGTGGCCATTGAGATTGAAGCGGATTCAAGGTATTAGGTATTTAAAGTCCAGCACTTCCTTAACTGGCAAGAATTGATAAAAATAGGTATTTTTAAAATAGGTATAGGTAACAGTATCTTGTATATAAGACGAAACACTTTCGTTTTATTTACATTGATTTGATTTTGAGACCAACTCTCGCTTTAACATTATTTGCATTTCATTATTACCGTCAGCAAAAAAGACTACATCATCAGCATATTCAAGGTCTATAATAGCGTGCTCTGGACTGATTTGCGCACCTTTTGAGTGAATAGGGATGCCCATTATCCAGTCTATCGAAACGACGCAGCCCTGGCGGACACTAGTTCTTATTTCGAAGGAATCTGTCAATTCCCCCGCGCCGAGCCACGCTCATAAAATGCCTTTATGAGTCGATTGATCTTCTCTGGATCACGGGCCATTGGCGCACTGAACCCAGATATCATATTTAATATAATACCAAATTTATACCGAATTTATCGCAAAGGCATCATGACCTACGCGCGCATTCTAGTTTCCCCCGACCATCTCACCTTTCGGTAGAGATGATATTAACAGTTCCACATAGAATTTATCCTTATCGCAGAGATCTGCGTATAAAGTTGATGACCGATATATTGCAGAACTTTCCCTTGAAAAGTAGGCCATACGGTCTACCCTATTGGCTTCCATTCAATGAGAACTGATCGAGCCTTTTCAGACATGACAATCGCTGCGCCATTTCGCCCCGAGTTATCCTAGTCACCACTGTGATATAGCCAATATTTGCTCAGAACCAGATTTAATAAATACTTGAGAGCCGAGGAAAGTGGATGGGCCACATCCAAGCATATTTAGAGAGGGATTGCTTGGCTTACAACATCCATAAGCATTCTGATGCTCCAAGCAGCTATAGCCAGCATCTCACCGCTTTTACAAAATATTAATGGATAGATTCTCGCTTTCCTCGATGGATTTTGAGTACTTATCTCAGTCCGTGAGCAAATTCTATGTTTATGCCTTGGGCTTTTATTATTATTATTACGCCCGGATTGTATATTTATCGCATGTACCATCGGATCACAAGTAGCATACGCATCGGGATATGTAGACGTCGCGTCAAAGAGACCTGACCGTTTCACCATAGAGTTACTGGAGAGGAAAGATACAGGTGGGTGCACAGCAGCCACTCGGATTTTTGACCTTATGACAGGTTTACTCCTGTCAAAGACGGAGAAATAGAGATAATTAAATTTGATTTAGAAGAAAAAATTTAAAGATAAAAAAATTTTTAAAAAAGAAGAAAGGAATTTAATACAAAAAAACTTATCCTTTTTTTGCATTAAATTCTTTTATTAGAATTCCCTTAGAATTAAAGGATATTGAGGACTTATGGAAGGATTTATGAAATATCTTACGCTCCAATTACTAAAACTTTTATAAATAAATTATCGAATATTAATTACAACCTCTTACTCCTGTGAAATAATAAAATTTTCCAAAATGATTTTTTCAAAATAAGAAAATTTTCTTTCAAAAAAAATCTCCACTTGAGATACCAAATTGTTAATCATTAATTGTTATATGAAGTGGAAAAGTGAGTTTTTCAAAATTATATTTTTAGAAAACCTTCTAAAATCTTTTCAACTATCAAATTTTAAGGATAAAAAATGAAGATTTATCAAATAATTTTTTAAGAATCGTCTAATACTAATGCTGATTAGACTCGCTCCGCTGGCTTGTCGCACTAGGCAAATATGCCAGGGAGCACTTTGGATAAATGTACAAGCAAGCAGCCAGCGTCAACCGGATTTTTGAACAGATTTACTCTTGCAGATCATTCAAAATATCTGTACATTTTTTCTAATTTCAAAGCTTATACTAGATAGCTGAGAAAATTTTCGCCTCCTCTGACTTCTAAATCCCACTGGAGATTAGACATTCTCAAAATTTCAGAAGACAATTTTAGAGATAAAAATTTTTTTCAAATTTAACTTCATAATCCTTATTCATATCGGATTAGAATCGGCTTGACGGAATCTCTATAGTATGCATGATTCTATTGTTGTGGGATTAGTATTATTCATGAAATGCCATGAATAGTTTTTAATCTGCTATTATTTTTCTCTATAATCGCATTGATTTTAGATGATTTTTAAGTTGTTGTAATGAAAGACATAAAATCTTTTTTTCGGACTGATTGAAATAATCCTTATATTATGTTGAGAAAGATGAGAATTCTAAATCCTCAGTAACCCTCGCACGAATGTTTTTAACTGACAAGTCTTTTTATCTTTTTATCTTGAAATTATTTCATAGTTCATGATTTTTCCAAGAAATATAAATAAATGTAAAAAAAATCAAATTTTTTAAAAATTTATAAAATTTATAATTTATATAATAAAATTTGTCAAAAAATTTCAATTACAGGAATTTCAAATTTGGAATGTTATATATGTGGTGAAAGTAATGTTGAAGAATTCGGCGAATGTGCTTCACAATTTCCCTATGATTGCTCAAGTTATGCAAGCCGATTTGAAGCAAATGAAAGAATTTTCTGTAGAACAACTCGACAAAAAACTGCAAATAGTTCTCGATTGATATTTTTTGATAATTTAAACTACAACAAGAATAAAAAAATTATTTAGAACTGCTAAAATGGCTATGAAAAATGCGATCTGAAATATAAATGAATGTGGCCGTAATGAAAAGTAAAGTCGAGCTAAGCAACAACAATTAGCATTAATTAAGCTTAAAAATTAATTTTGACAATTTTAAGTTTTGACAATTTCAGATACTTATATGATAATGAAGGAATGTATCAGCCAAAAGGACCACTATCGAACGTTTCCAAAAAAAGACTATCCTTTAGATGAAGAATGTGATTTAATTGACATTCAAGAGGTGGAAGTGGCTTATTGTTTATGTCGACATAATGATTTATGTAACAGTCATTCCATAGCCGAACAATTTGTTGCCTTTCAAGAGGTATCAAGGCTCCTTTTCATGCTTTCAAGATCAGATTTCCGTAAAATTGCTAGCATAATTATAGCATAATGATTGAAAGTTTAGTATGCAGCGAGACAATTAATTAAGCTTCTATATAAAATTACCCCTTTATAAAACACCACTACCACATTTTAGCTTCATCCCGAGCTTTTCGGTGAAGAGCCAATTGAGCTAACCTCAACTTCGATTGTCCATGTCGGATCAGAAGATGAAGATGAACTGAGCAAGGTACTTCAAAAAATCCAATTTATAAAAAAAGAGTTATAAGAATAAGAGTAGGAATTATAAGAATTCTAAATTTGGGATCTTATATATGTGGTAATATTTATATTCAGTTCTTGTATTTCACTAGCATTAACTGAAATTCTGTTTAGTTCTTAAACCCTATTTCTTATTCAAGTTAATGAAACCAGGTTGCTCCTTTTCCAACCGATACTCGTCGACGCCAGCAATCATCACCTTCAATAAATGACAATAGTGGAATTTTTGAACCTTTAATGCCTTCACAGAAACTTGGTGCTATAATTCCAGAGTTCACTTCATATTCCGCTTGTAAGTAATATTAGACAACATTTTTTCTATGAAAAAAAAGACTGCAAATGAAAAACTATAGATTTTTTTGTTAAAGACTTTTTCACAGAAAATTTTTCAGCACCATCATTACTTGCAAGCACTTTACTGCCGTTAAATCCAATTTTAAACTATCAGTATCTTCAACGTGTTCCTGTAAAAACCACATATATAGACCATAACAGAGCAGTCGATAATAGTCCAATTCGGCAAGTGATTAAGCGTTTTTATAATTTTTTTGGCAGGTTATTTAAATACCAAGTAATTTTTTTTTCACATGCATATTTGTGCACTAAAAATTAAATTTGTGCACTAAAAATTCATTGTCCTGAATTTCTTCTTGCCGAATAAAAATGGCTTAGTTATTAATGAAATTTATTGTTAGGATACACCAAATTCAAAACAACAACGATATGAGCCATACTTCAATTGGTGAAAAAGGTACTTTTTTTTATCCGAATTTTAGATTTATAATTTTCTAAGCTAAGCAATGCTTGTCGACCGTTATTAAATATAAAGATTTAAATCAGTGAATTTTTGGAAAAATTTTGCAATATTTTTATTTTACAATTCCATTTTGTAGTTTGCATAAAGTTTGTATGAAAGTTTGCATAAAAATCTAAAAGTTTTTTTAAAATTTGAGCAATTTTTAAGCTCTATTTAATTGCAAATTTTTTAGAATATAAATTAAAATGTATACAATGTTCAAGTGAAAATGTTCAAAACCAAGAAGATTGCTTCCCAAGTACAATTGTAAATTGTGGATCAAATAAGAACGAAGATTCCGAATCTTATCATTGCTTTACAAGACAAATATTCCAGGAAGGTGATTTTCAAAATAATCACAAACACATTCGGAAAAATTTTATTCAAATTAGATATTTTGTATTCATCTGATAGTATAGAAGGAATTTCATTCATATGCAAATTTGTATAAATGAATTCTTCGTTTATTGGACATCGTAAACTTCTTAAATATCATGGAGAATGTTTGAAATATTAAAATTAAATATTATCGACAATATTTTCTTTTTTCTATATGCACTCACCATTTCTTATTAGTCTCGCTTATTGGACTGAATAAATATTGCGAGGGAGTCATATGGCAATAAAAGTACAAGTGGTTTGCAAGCTTATGCCGGATTTGTAAGACAAATTTACTCCTGGGAATCATAGCGTCGATGCTGTGAAATATGAGCAACGCTGTGCCATTCTGCCATGAATTTTACCAATTTTACTATTTTGATTTTTTAAATTTTTTCATTATTGATAAATTAAACAAATTTCAGATCGGAATTTGATAGAAAAACGATGTAAAACATTAAAGTCATTAACGCAAGAATATGGCAAACAGATTATTTTAAATGGTTGTGCAGTAATAAATGATGGTAGAGAACATTTTTGCATTTGTGCATATAACGAATGCAATAAAGAAACAATTAAAAATCAGGTCAAAACCATGTTTCAATACATTCGAAACTCTTGTGGAAAAGATTTCTATGGGAAAGAAATATTTTTTAAAATGAAAAATTTTTAAATAAAAAAATCAAAAGAGTTCAAGTAATTTTTCTCGAAATTTTTTAAGAAAAATTCATTTTTCGGTTATTGAGTTATTTGACTTTTTTAAAGAGCGTTTGTACTATTAATGGTGAATAGGCTCGTTCCGATGGCTTATCGAATTAGACAAATTTTGCTAGGGAGTCCTTGTCGATTTGCGATTTATTCTAGGAACCAGAATCCAAGCAATCGGCACACGGCGAACCAATCTAACCTTTGGCTGTTCAATGCAGCCCGACAAAGGTGCGCCGGTCGCATCCGAACTCGAGTTTTTCTCGGTTTTTGTTGACTATAGTTTTATTAAGCACTTTAACTAAATTATATTTTAATTATAATGATCATTTATGAATTATTTTCAAAGTCTTCGATATATTTTTTATATTTTTTTTGTTCAATGTAAATATTTCTTTGTGAATTTAAATATTTATTATAATTTCATTTACTAATTTAATTTATGCAATTTTAACATATATAATTTCTAATTTTGTAATAAATTTGCAGTTTTTATTGCATGGAGGAAGGCAACCATCTATTCCAAAGTTTATTCAAAATAGTCCAGTTTATGCAACATTGAAAAGCCAAATGATTACATTGCAAGAGGCTACTGAAGTGAGACATTCTTAACAAAATGCTGATTGGCTTTGCTTTTCAGCTTCTTCAACGAATAATTAAAAACAGGGCAAGATAATATTTCAATATTTAATAATATTTCAGTCCACAATTCACTGCTATATATGTATGGATAATACGATACAAGATCCTTTATCCGATTGTAAAAATCAAGTGTCGCAGGCTTGCCTGCTAGAATCGGATATGTTCTGCATGACTCGACAAATGCAGTTAGCTAATGGTATTTTCTTTCATTCGATATTTTCAAGAGTGAATAAAACCAAGAGATTTCGCTCTTTAAGAGAAGATCGAATTAAAGTACTCATAAATATTTTGGCTATATTCTGCTTATAGGTATTGCCTTAGTGCTAACCATCCTTAAGAATATTTTCAAGGAATTCGCAAATCGAGTTTTCCTCTTCTCTTGCAGGATTATATAGCTTGGAAAAGGCTTGTATGTCCAAAAACTTATTCAAACGGAATTATCCAGATGAAGAGTTGAAATTTGGCTGTTCAGCTGCATCTGATCGATTAATTGCTTATTGCACTTGCACTGAAGATTTTTGCAATGCAGATAGCATCGTTGTTCAAGCAAAAAGAATAGGCTTTGATGATGGGTAATTTAATATTTGTTTAATAAAAAAAATATATAATGAAATAAAATCGTGGAGCTTAACTTATGCTTAGTTCAAGCATAGCTTGAATTAAGCTAAAATAATTTTTTGAATTTTGAAATGAAAGAATCTTGCGACAGCCTTTCTAGCATCGCTTCGAGTTCTTCGAGTAATTTTATTATTTATTATTTATTTATTTATTGTGCTTAGAAACTCAGCTGTTCATTCATTTTTTTTTCCGCCATTAAATATTTGTATAATCATATCAGATATTTTTTAGTGCTATATCAAGCGTTCTTCCATTACCAACTCAAGAAAACACAGTAATTGAATCGGTTGCCACGAATGATAACACTATAGAACATTGGAATGAGAAGGTTAATTCGATTTTTATCTTATCAAAAAAATACTTCAAACTTGGCGTTATCATAATTTATAAAAATATTGGCAGTGAACCATTTTAGAAATAAATTTTTTATCAGTAAAATTGCGGTTTATTTTCAGTCGTTCAATTTGAAAATTCACGCATTTCAGACAAAATCAATGAAAAATCCTTCGAGGTTATCTTTGGATAGTATAATCGATGAATCAATTATTTACAATGATTTAAGTTCCAAGTAATAACTTTTAATAACAAAATATACAAAACAAAATAAATAAATAAGTAAACAAATAAATAATAATTCTCTTTTCAAATTCAAATTACAGAAATATAAACATAAGTTGCGAAAGCTAATTTTCAAATTTCGCATTTCCGATTTATGAATTATCGGCGATTTTATCAGGGAACCAAGCTAGTTCAGAGCATATATTTTTTAATTTGAAAAGACTATTATTTGATTTGTTGCTTTCAGAAAATCGGACGATTCTTATGTGCATGATTTGAGTGCCATTATCAAATCAAGCAGTGGTTCTATAAATTTTGTTTCTCAGACTATGACAATAACTTTATTAATATTTTTCCATAAGCTCAATGATTTTTTTTTGAGGCAGTTTATTGCTTCATTGTATTAAAATAATAATCAGTGTGTTGATTTTATCAGCGATTTGTTATTAGAAAATAATATAAATTACCAACTTGGTAAGGTGAACTGTCGTGTTCTTCAAGTTATCAAATCAAAATGTACAGGAAAAGAATATTATTTTCGCGATTGTGCCCATTATCAAAAGCGATATTTATTTCACTGTTGATAAATATTTAATTTATTTTTGTGATAAACTGTATTTATGCATATTTATAATCTAAATAATATTGTTTCAAAAAGTTTCCCTGTTTAAGACAAAAATTAATCAATGATCTTCCAATTTCAGCATTTCTGTCAGTTGTCCACATATTCCTTCGTCAATGGAATCTATAAATCAAAATTGAATGAAATTGGTCGTTTCCCACTTTGTTTATAAAACAAATGAAAATTTGGTGTTTGATATTTATTGCACTCATAGACAGTTTTGCATATTCAACCCGATTAAAAACTTGGCGGCACAAACTTTCCTCGTCAAATAGCTAAGAATCCCATATAATCAAATTTTCAATATTATTATCAAATTATATTATTTTATACAAGAATAACACTTTTTCTAAGAGCGCTGATGACCATTTCACGCTAAGTTTACTACATTGGCTATTAGCTCAAATGAATTTTATTAATAAATCACTCGACATTGAGCCAGATTTGTTTCTGTTGGGAATAATATCCATCTAGCACCGGTACTCTGATGTGAATCCAATAAAGGCATTCTATCCTCTACAAAGAACTGTAAGATAATATATGAGAAATAAATACTTCAAGCATTCTTCTTCTTTCATGCTTCACATTTAATATTTACTTATTAACTAATTCAAAAAGTAAATCGCTCAGTAGGCTTGCAAAATTGCTCAGTAGACTTCAGTAGGCTTTAAGCTTAGTTTTCTTTTCTTTTTTACTCCTCTTTTTTTCTTACTAGAAATTATCGAAAGAGTAATTTAATTAACCTCTTGACCCTAAATTTTTGATTTCATTAGTGAGGCAATGAGTTCAAACGCGAGAAGCACTTTTACGAATTTGGGCTGTGTCATTGCAAATAATTGTGTTATTCGCAACTTGTGTTCCTCTTGAATGATTCTCTAAGGAAATAATTCGAAATAACTTGCGGAAATAGATGAGGGAATTCAAATTTCAATATGTCAACGTGTTGAATTTGATTTGATTTTGCTACTTTCATTTTTTTCCTATTTTTACAAAAAAATGCGAGCATAGAAAACATAACAAAACATAACATCGGTTTTTTAGGAATAGTTTTAGTTGGTATTTGTTTTATTTGATTTGAAAGCTATCCTCAGAACAATGAAAGAGTCTTTGGTTGGTTTGTTTTTTGTTCAGCCAAGTTTCACCCTTCACCAGTTTTATTTATTATTCTCCATTTATCGCTAATATTTTGTTCAGTTTGAAAAAAAGGCTGAAGATGCAAATTATAAATAATCTGTAGAAGGATTGTTTTTGCTATAATAATCGTTGGCATTGATTTACATTTGGTTTGTATGGCAACCAAAATAATAAATGAAATCATAAATTTTTCTTTAATTCATTTTTTGCCAGTTTTTTTCTAAAATAATTTTTGCTGGCATTTGATAAATAAAAGAAAAGTTTAATAGAATAATACAAATTAAAGCAGTCAATTCAATTCGTTCTGAATCCTCTTAGAGGCATTAATTTTACTTTTGATGAACAATTTTGCTAGCCAAAGTCAAAAGTGAAGATATCCATGGTTTTGGTCTTTTTTATTTATGACATTTCCGGATTTTTCTTATTGCAACTGAGCGATTTATGTGACATAATTTTAGCAAAAAAAGACAAATTCAAATGTGATTATTTTCTTAATTAGCCAACGATTTTTTCAAATATTGCCATTTCACATAAAGCATAAACCATTTCAGACCATTTGGAAGACAATTATTATATTTCGTATTTTGAGATGTTTAGAACGGTGCTGAAGAAGTCAAATAAATATATTTAGCATTCGTAAATAAACACATATAAATAAAGAAAGGAAATGATATACAAATAGGTTTTTAACATTTATGATAAGCTTTGCGAGAGAAATTTCAGCAGCTTTCGAAAAAAAAATTCAGCGATTTTTGGAAGGATTTGGAATATTAGTTTTTATATAACTAAGTGATATATGCAATAATTCTAAGTGACCCTATGGATCCATTCGTTTTTTTATTTGCAAATGATATATTACAACGAATTAATCTTAGTCTGTGGAGCCAAAAATTTGCGCGTGTTTTTCAAAAATGAATTGATCCTATCGCTTTGATCTGATAAAAAAAAATAAATTTCTACACATTCACTCAATTTATTTATGAAATTTCCGTTTAAAAATGATTTTAAAATTAATTTTAAAATTAATGAAATAAAAAAAATAAAAATTTGCATTTTTGGCATCGTCGGATTTTTTCATGTTTGGCCAAATGTGCCAAAAAAATAATTTTTTGCTTTTTTAAAGCTTTTTTCGTTGATTTTAGTTTATTATTATTATTCTTCTGAAGAGAAATCCTAAAATTTTAAATATTAATGTTTCTTTTTACATTTATTGATCTCTTCTAAAGATTTTTATCAAAAATTGGGCCGCCTTTTGGCCATATTAAACTTAATATTTCGTAAGAAAACATTGTGAGATTTTCAATTTTGGCCATATGTTTTGCTTAATTCCATAGACACTGAATGCGATTAATTCGATTTGTAATCAACATAAATCGACAATTTTCATTCATCAAATTTAGTGTAATGGTGTGAGTTTTCTTTATCAAATAAATCTCCTTAAAATATTTTTACAACCTCTCCTCACAAAAGGGCTCGCACAATTATTTTGGATGGCAAAGCCCATTTGCGTTCATGGAATAGAGCGATTAATAAATTTGAGGATTTAAGCCAGCTTTTTAAAATAATACTATGGCCAATAATATAGAAAATAAATTATATGACGCTTTGGTCAATCGAGCAAATTTGTTACTAATAAATCATATTTATGTTAATTTTTTATTTTTTTTATCTTTTTATTATTTATTAATGTATATAATGTTTTATAATTTATAATGCGCGAAATTTAGAAATTGTACTAAGTAAGTTCAAAATAAGTGAAAGAACGTGATATGTAACAAATCATAAGATTTTTTCCAGTAGTCAGGCATAATAAATATTATAAAATATGATTATATGTGTTTTTTGCCAAAAATGCTTTTGAAATGGAGTTTCTAAGTACTATTCCCGGCAGATTATAGCTGCCATATTAGACGATTATTGCGAAACATATCATGAGAGAATATTAAGTAAAGGCATTCCACAAATGAAGAACAAAGAAAGCGTATCATTTGTGCCTATCATTTTCAAATAAGTTTCGCTTTATGGCATGAAACTTTTAAGTCTTTGAAAACCTTTAGAAATTGCATAAAGCCTCTTTTCTTTTGGTGTTTCTGATATTTGCACCATAAAATCTAAGTGCTTAAGAATAGTCATTAATATATAAATTTGTTAAATTGATAAAATTTGGATCATTCTTTTTCTATTTTTATAAATTACAGTTCTTTTTTTTCTTATAGGTAAAGATATCTTTTACTTTATGTTTTTATTGTTTTAATTTTTTGTAATTGTAATAATTTTGTAATTTTTTATTTTGGTTTATTAATAATTTTATTACATTTATTTATAATTTTATTAGATTTTTTTGTTATACAACAATAATTATAATTTTAATGCAATTTTGCCTTAAATTAATTAATCCATGTGTTTTTAGTTTTTAGTCTCTCTCTCGGTTCCTTAAGAATTACGGCTTTTAAAAAAAGCCAATTTTAAAAATAGAATCCAATTCATCAACGATAATTTTCAATTAACTGGATGCCAAATGCCTGTTTTGATGATGAAAGTTGTGGCCAATATTCAATTGCCGATTTTCTTTCTTATCGCTCTTCATTGATCGCTTATTTTCCTTTTATAGCGAACAATTTTTTTTTAAAATGAGAATAAATGAAAATATTTATTTGTATACAAAACAGTATACAAAATACTTTTTTAAGATTTTTTACTAAGAAAATTCAATTAAACTGGAAAAAATTGAATATAAATGGTTTGCAGGGTATTGGGAAGTTGTTTCATTCGAAGAGATTTTATCCATTATAAGTAAAATAAAATATATTATCAGAATGGGAGTACCATTTAAAGTGTAATTTGCGAAAGATTAAACAGTGGCAAGAATCTCCAAAAATTTTGTTAGACTGTAATAAGTTCCATCAAAAACTCATTTCTTTTTTCTAATTCCTTAAAATGGATATTGCTCTTCATACTTCAGTCGAAATTAAAAATAAATCAAGCAGCAATTAGATGAATCTCAAGCACATTTATGCCGTTTCTAGTTTAATGCTTCATGTTTTTTAACGAATCAACACAATTGATCGGCTATTTACTCTCTTTTTTTTAGCCGATATTTTGTGTAATAAGTTAATAATAAGATAAGATATTACTTGTTTACTTCATATTCGATACATTTTTACAAATTTTGGCTTCTTTGCGTCTAAAAATGAAGAAAGTAAGAAAATAGGTTTTCACTTAATATTTTAAATAGATACGCATTCACCAATAACCGTATTTTTCCTTCTATGGTACATAGTTTTTTGATAAGTGATAAAAGCTCAATTTTTAAATCAAAATTAGAAAAATAGAAAAAAAATTTTCATTAATAATTTTTTAACTAAATTTATAATTTTCATTAAATAAATTCATGGATTATTTCAATGAATAAAATATTTGCATATAATATCCAATTTTCTAAAATAATTCTCCATTTTCTATTTGCAAAATTTCTATCTATTTTACGAATTCTTTTGTATATTATGTTTTTTTTTTATAAAAAACTTTTATCATTGCTGATTAGCCTCATTACCTTGGTTTCTCAGACCAAACAAATTTTGCTAAGGTGCCGTTCAACAATAGAAGTATCAATAAATAAGCAGCATCACCCGGATTTTTAAGGGACACCTTTGTTCCTGCCTAGTATAGAATCTCAACATAGGCGCTTCAAACTGAGCAATGTCTTACTGAGCTGATCTGTCCCGTTGTCTTTCGCTGTTTGACGCCACTACCACCTTTATTTTCGCTGCATATAGTAATCATTTTGATGCAGGCATTTCAATGAAATGAATCATATTTAAATATCTTTAAGCAAGCAACTGGAGAATCTTTTCGAGGGACGAATTAGTTTTTCGAAGATTATTGATGAAATATTGTTATTGCTCTATTATAATAATAGAATATAAAAAAAAGCCGTAGAAAATTGGAAGAAATCCTTGCAAAGATGATAGAAATCATTTTGTGATAAATAGCTATTCGAGAATTGAAAATGAAATTGATATATTCGCTTGATAAAGGAGGTTTTTTTTTAGTTTTCGCATCACTAAAAAGTGATATTTTCTGCAATATACATAATCTAGTAAATTCAATGAAGCGTTAAAAGCGCTCAATTCATCGGATTTGAATGGTGGATGGATGAACGATAGGATGAGCTTTTGCGCATAAAGGATCTAAATTCTAAAAACGATTTTTTAGTTTTCTCATAAATCTTTTGCTTCATTCTTTGTGAGGTCTAATTTTCTAAGCATTTTTTGCTTACCATTAATGAAGAATGTCTTTCACACTTTACACTAAGCTTTAGGCTTTTTTTATAGTAAATTAATTATAGTATAATTATAGTTAATAAATATAGCTTTTCAGCTACAAACATCTTTAAATTTCGGTGACGCATAATGCATTTCTAATTATTTTTTTTCCCATTTTTGATTTTAGCATGCCTCACTAATTATTACTAATTAAAATCGCTTTCAACAGGCAAGCTCATTTTTCAGTTGTGATTTCATTAAATTATGATTGCCCAACACTGGAAAAAAAATGAATACGGACATTATCAACGATTATATTATCAACATCAGTTATTAGCAAAGAATGGCCAGTAATTGAAAATGAACAACTTTTAAATCCAAATATTTTCCTTAAAAAATCTGATTTTGCTCGATTCGCTTTAACAAGTCACTTGGCCAAGAGGCAGCAATTTTTTATTGTCAATATAAAGGATTTTTTTTCTAAATTTTAGCTTTATTAAAAGATTTTTTTAAAATAAAAGCTGCATATTTAGCATTTGATAGACGTTTCAAATTGAAAAAATCTGTAAATTATTCGTTCTATGATCATCTCCTCTCAATTTAGGCAAAATTTATCGAAAATCAAATTATTTTTATATAAAATTTACTTCGTCTATTCTTGTAGTACTTTAATTAAATTGGAAAGATTTTTTAAAGTTATTTTTATTTATTTAACGAATTAGCACTTGAATGAGAAAGAAAGTAAAAATAAAAATCTTTTCTTGCTGAAAATTTTTCAATAGCTTTTTATAAAAGATAATTTTGAAAAGATTGCGTAAAAGCCGCTTAAAATATTCTTATCATTTTTCATCAATAAAAACTGGCGAAACATGAAATTTTCTCGACCCAAATATATTTCTCTCTAAATCTGATTTGTTTGACTGAATTCGAAAAAATGGCTATTTTTCTTCTTTTAACAACAAAACACCATTAGCGGTTACGCTGACTTCACTGGCTATGAGGGTCAAGCTTTTCCAAACCATTCTGATTCCATACTTGAAAATAACAAGCCAATTTTTTTTTCCATCATCTAAACCGTGTATATCGTTGAGTCGCCTGTATATCTATATTTTCCTTTGGCTATACTAATTCAGATCTTTAAGTATCATTAAGAATCTTTCTTTGATATTCCACGAATTTTTTCTTTAACAATATATTTGCTCGCGAATAAACTGCAAGAAAAGTCATCTGAAAATCTTTCTTATGATATTAAAATAACAAATTAATGTCGATAAATTCCTTGAGATGTTTCATTATTTCATTTTGTGGGTAAAAATTTCATTAAAAATGCTTTAGGCATCGATTATTAATCTTTCTTATTCTTATTTATCATTTATATTTTGAAATTCTATAAATTTAAAATTTTAATGCGATTTATTTCTTCTAATTCTTCCTCGATTTTTCGAAATCGACCGAATCAAAACCTATTACAGTTATACTCGAATGTTAACTTATGTTTTTAATTATTACGCTATGGGCATAATTTTGTTTATTAATGGGATATTATCATGAAAGTAACCGAAAAACACAATTCAGAAAATCATCAAATAATTAAGAATTTTTCGAAAAATCAATGCATTTTTATAATGTAATCGGCAATTCGTCGACAAAAATGGAATTGTGGAGTTAGAAAGTTAGAATTACCATTAACAAATGGCCCAACAAACGGAAATCGACAATCTAACGGTGAGAAAATTATTTCATCTAAAACGCTTTTGAATGCTTGGATGAGATCCTTCCTTAGGCGATTCTCTACAGTGAAATACCGATTGAACCTGTAAAAAGAGGGGAACCTCGAGATTAATTGACTAATTAGGACTAATCATAAAGGCCTAAAAATTTCTATTGTTAAATTTAAATTTTAATGGAATTCTTAAAAATTCATTAAATTTAAAATGCATTATAAAAAATAGATAAACGTATAAATAGTAGTGAGAAATGAATGAATGCGCAAATATTTGAATTATAAACGACACTTAAGTAATTGCAAATTTTTTAATGAAAGCCATCAGTTCTTCTAAACTATTTTTAATAAATTTAATTTTAATATTTTTCAGAAATTGAATAATATATTTCTCGTAAAAAAATATCTTTTCGCTTGAAATTATGGTTGATTTTAAGTTAATTTGTCCATTAATTTTTTATTAATTATTTATTATTTTTTTCGCCGATTTTTTATTCTTTATTCTTTGATTTTAATAGTATTTTAATAACTTTTCTTATTAAAAATATACATATATATATATATATATATATATATTAGTTTCCATTAACAGCAAATTTAACTTAAAACAAACTTCGAAGTGGTGTTAGGTGCAAAAATAATGAAATAATCGTCACCGAAGAATGATTCTGCTGTACAATCGTAATCGGTTGCTCGTCCTCAATCTGCACAATACAGCACTCCATCAAAATAGGTTTTTTTCACGTATGAGAACAGGTTTTTTCAAAATTTTCCACTTTTTTTTCAGCAGAAGCCAAATATTCGAAGCGTATGTGGTGCAATAAAATATGATTTCTATTGGAAATGTTTGCTGAGTACACTTTTAGTCCATCTTTGCATTTGTTATGCGGTGTGGTGCCATTTAAACCATTATGCTTATGCGGCTCACCTTACTTTCACGTTTGTTTTTTTTTCGCTTTAAAATTTTCTACGAAATAATAATATTTTTTTTTCCTCGACACATAGCTTATGTATTATCATCATTAATTTTGGCTAATTGTTGCAGCAAACCATATTTGAAAATTTATAGCAGCTATTCTCTCTTAAACCTTCTCTGCTGACAGTTGACAATGAATTAGAACAGATGCTAAGATCGCGCACCTTAAAATTAAGTAAAACTCTCTTCGCCTTATTTACCAGACCCAAAAGAAATACCTAGTAATTACGGTTGAAGAAATACGATTTCAAATATCTTGGCTTGAGCTACCACTTGCAAAAAAAAGGAAGCTCGCACCAATATCGCATACAAGACCCTTTTTATACAGACGCATACAAGTTCTGCAGTATTCTCTTAATGCTTAATGTTAACTGCCAATATATTTACCTTTGTAATTTTATAGCCACAGATGTGAGATATAACGAAGTATTATGGGAGTATAATGAAAGAGGGAAAGGTTAAGAAATGGTTTGAGCAGAATAAAATAGGGAAAATAGGTTTAAGATTGCCGAATACGAATAGAGCCAGGATAGCAGAATGGTTTTCAGCTAAGTTAACGTCTAGGATTAGATCCTTCCGACAAAAGCAAAAAATTTGAGTGCAGCTATTTGTCTCTTTATATATTTATCGCCAAACGAGTTTCCAGCAAAAATTTGTCATCATACTAATTATTAATCATTAACGGAGCCTAGCCAGGAACCTTATTCATTTATTTCCATTCTTTCTTTTGATATGTACGACCCAGCTTTTATCTATAGAAAATATTCAAGCAGGCAAATTTTCTGCAAATTCGCTTATAGAAATGAATACAATAAATTTTTAAAATTTTAGATACTCACATGGTCCTTGTGCTCAGGGATATAATTTCATACCAATTGCATTTGGTGTCATGTTATATCTTATCTATATAATGGAGTGTTGGCATAATCGCGCGAAATTCAATAAAATCAAAAAGGTTTTTAGTTCACTTAAAAATTAATGAACTGAATTTAAATTGGCAGATTGAATAAAATTATTTGACTGTTCTATGTCAAATTTTCACAATTTTATGATCTTACTCGATGATCACGAGTTTTCTTTGAAGGACATTTGAAGATTATCTACTATATATAATTATATATACTCCTTATAGATTGGATATACCGAGGCGATTGAATATATCGACAAAATGCGGTGCGCACCACCAATTGTGTGGTGGAAAAGTATTTGTTATCATTATGTTAGGCGAACTAGGCAGGTGACCAGGTAACCAGGAAAATCTATCTTTTCAATAAAATAATTCACAGTAAGCTAATTATGGTTAGACTCGGTGCATCATTAGTTAAAATAAAGATAAAGCAATTTCATACGAATCTATGAGAATAAAAATTACAGAAAATGCCCAGCATTATACAAAATAAATAAACAATTAATAAGCATCATTTGTAAAGTATTCTTGAAATATTTTCATGAAAAATATGCAAATGTATTTTTTTGGTCCCTTTTAATTCCGCTTTTAATTCTGCCATTCGTTCAACTTCAGGTATCGCAATGGTGACGCCATAACAGCAACTCAAGCCTTTTATGAACGGGTTAGCTCATATACCGCTAAAAATGTTTTTATCTACGATATATGTGGTGCTAAGGTGAATTATTTTTTGTTATGCGGGTAAAAAAAGATAGTACGCATGAATTTTCTGTAGTGTACTTTGCGAAATTATGCTCCAATGTCTCAGCTTTTGCCTTTAATAGTATTAAGAATAGACAATCGTCAAGAGATTTACATAAAAGTAATTTACTATTAGTAATCGGCAGGGGATTTGGATAAAAGTAATTTAATATTTATGGTTCTAATTTACGACTAAAGTAGAAAAAATTGTCGATGAATTCTCTTACGATAAATAAATGCATTATAAGGTTCGAAATTTTTAAAGTAATTTGTCCTACAGGCATTGGCCAACTCCCAACTTCCTTATCCATAGATATTTGGAACAAAACATATTGGTTATCTTTATCAGTCGCTATCATTTTTTAGGATATTTCTAAAACACTTGTCGATCTCGACCACTATCCCGTAACAAAAATACGATTTTCGAAAGGCTTTCTTTTCGCTTGTGTGCAAGCTGCAAACGAATTTGAGGAGCAACGTACTCGATTTTTAAATGAAAATGAATTAAGGGATGATTATATGGAAGTAAGAAATTTCCATAGGATTTGTTAATATTAAACTATTCCATTCATGATAATAAGCCTACTTCTTCAGATAGTACTCAGTGTTTTTGCTACAATGAAATAAAATCACTGGGATGTAAATATAATGGTTGAATCTTAGTACCACTTAGATTTCACTTTTAATAATAAGGTCTATTTACTTCGAAGAGTGGCGAAAAGTGGAGAGGTTTTATCAGATCTTTCATCAGAATTTATTCACTTTTCATCAGTTGAGATGCTTTTAGTAAGAATAATTTTAAAATTTTTGTACTAGATTACCTTAATATTTCTTATATAAAATTTATTATTTTATATTTTGAAATTTTTTGTATGCAGAACTAATTGTACCATGAACAAAAAACAAAGCGTTACCTTTGAAAGTTTTTCGCTTTTTTTTGATAGCTAAATTATTTTTTTAATTATCCATAAATTTAATAACTGAATTGGAAACACTAAAGTGGGGAAAGAAGAGCATTCGACCTATAAAACATTTAAAACATTTATTTATTCTTATAAAATTTTATTTACTTTTATTTATTTATTTGAAAGTTTAAATTGAGTATTCACTTATCACTTATCAGCAGTTTTTCAGGTTCGTGAAGGTCTTGATCTTGCTGGATTGCAATTTGTCGATCAAATGGTTGTTTATTCCACATCAAATCAAAAATGTCCCTGGTATTTTTCCGAAATAGCATTTTGGTTTTTCAGCATAATTTTACTTAGCTGGCCACTGCGATTGCTTTGTGAACTCCGAACTGCTCACGTTCACTATCAGATTAGCAAGCTTTTTGGCACCAATTATCTCAGGCTAGTTACTTGCCATGTTCAGTTATCATAGCCGTTCCAAATTACAACAAAATTTTCGTTCAAGTAAACTAAGATAAATCTCATGAACTGGTGAATAACTCTTGTATAGTTTATTCTAAAAGATTTCATGGGATTAAAAAGGAAACAGCTATTTAGAAATAATTCGTTCTTTAAGAAAATTTTAATTTCTTATTTTTGATATATTTTATTTAAAAACCTCTGGCAATAAGTCAAGAGTCTCGCAATTAGTAGAAAGTTCTCTCAACGGGAATTTTAACGACGGGAAGCAGGAATAAGGGCCTGAGCAAGAGCGAGCTACGAGAGCCGATGGCCATATAAACAATCCTTCCAATCGGCAGGCATAACTAATGGAAAGAAGAGGTGACTTTGGCATTTGGTGGAAAAAATGCATAGAGCAAAAAAGGTTAAGAACCACTGAGTTGTGAATCTTTAATATTGACAGAATAGATGCAATTTATGTTGCTGGGGCTAAGCCCACAATCAAACGAGAGAGGTGGTTTTAAAGATCTGCTTACATCGGAATGAGATCATCTTTTTGGTCTTACCAAATTTTTTCAGTCCATCAAGCATTAATTATACTGGTTCAATAGGACGCTCCAATACGATAAATAGTCGAGATCTTGAAGCTTTGGCTCAACGTGAAAATTATTATGCTATCCCGAGTTACAGCGAGGCGATACTCATGAGTCCAGCAGGCACAGGCCAAGTTAGAAATTAAACTAATTTTAAAACTTCTCCGCAGTCATTCATTAAATTAACAGTTAAATTAATTCAATTTTAATAATTCAATATTCATAATCAATTGATTCGAATCGTCTGAATTCTGTAAAGGTCCATAATTTTATAAGTATTCACATAGGCCCAGTGGGTGGAATATTGCTTTATTTGTGTGCGAGTAACGCGGATCTGGAGACGAGTAAATTTCATAAATAAGATCCGAATGGTACTTGGAAACATGGTACTTGAAAAAATGGTACTTGAAACTACATTCTGCCTCCATGTGTGATGGAAGAATTTCACCCAACTGACCTTTCAATAGAATTAGCAGGACCAGTGAACGAATAATGCAAATGGCATTAATTCTAATAAAATGGTTTTTTTTTTCATTTCAGAATAATTCGATGGGGTCTCACAATATGATATCTAGCGGAAATATGACTACAACTAATTATGGCACAATAATTCATCCCTATCCGATCTCTAATGCTTTGCAAAGTGATATCGTACGAATAGTTAGGCGAAGTATTACAGAACGTATTCCGATAAGAAGCCGCTCTATGAACCAAATTTTATCCAGGTGAAATGTAAATTTAAAAATATGAATAAAGTTGATTTATAGGTGTTATTTTAATTTTAATGTCTTTCGAATAGGCTCTTAAATTTCAGATATTCTGCGAGAGTTGATCCATCACGATCGTCATCTTCTGTACCTCTTCCACGAACTATGAATGGTTCATCTCGATCATTAAGTATTGGAGAAATTAATGCAGCATGGAGGTCACCAGGGTATGAATCCATCGAGGAAGAGTATACGGATGATCAGAGACCGCTAATCGCTTCTATGAGGCCTATCGATGAACCTCCTCCATCTTATGAAGTAGCGATTATTATCGGAATTTTTTGTCTTTTGAGGATCTTCATGATCATTCCTTTCGCATTGTTATTACTTTGTGCTATGGCCAGCGACTTTTTGCTTTTCATTATCATTGAGACAACTCATAAAGGCAATAATTTATACATGAGGCTTATTGAAAACTTTAAAAGATCTTGCCTAAAAAGTGAGAAATGTAATTAAGTAAGCAAATTTCTGATTAGGTTCGCTGTACTATTGTTGATGTTTAGGATGAGAAATTTTGCCAGAGACACACTGGAGACACATACAAAAATGTAGATCGGCATATTTTAGATTCATAAAGGCGTAATTACCGGCCATTGCAATCTGTTGAAATGGTCTGTTAACCCTGTTATATAATAATTTTTTTTTCTCATTACTGGTTGAATTCGCTCCTCTGGCTTGTTACACTGAACAAATATACCAGGAAGTCCCTTGACGATAGAAATACAGGTGGGTCACCAGCATCACCCGGATTCACATTCCTGCGGAGGAATAGAACCTCAGCAGCAACCCCAAATTGAGAAGCAACCCACTGAGCCATTCTATCCTATATAATATGATTATATAATATGATTATATATAATATGATTATGTTTTTTTGAGCTGATTTTGCGCTATAATTAATAATTCTACAAATTAAAATACAAAATAATTATTAAATAATTATTAAAATATAGAGAATATTATAAATATTATTAAAATACAAAAATTTACAATATTTGAGGAAATATGGCTGCGAATGATTTTAATAATTTTAGATGGCGTTGCGAATGTGCGCACCGATATATGAAAGGTTACGACGGTCGGCAAATTCAATAACCTCACGCTTAAGTTCAATATCACACTCAAATAGCAAAGAACTATCTTTTAGAAGACAACATAATGGATAAGCGAGTGAATCTTTTTTATAATCATTTATGCAAATGATTATTTTCTCATTGCTTATCATAAAATATCGCACTTTTGTATCTCTGATAAGATTCTTAAATAGCAAAAATATGACGAAAGAACGAAGAATTCCCTTTTATCACCATTTAGAAAAATGTGAATAGTTAATAAACAGTACTACTCAACATTTCTTTAATGCAATTTATTATTCATTAAAATGCTATTATTAAAATAATATTTGTATTTTACCATAAATTATATTTTGAATTATTTACTTGTGGATTTTGTATTTTATACGAAATTAATAAAGCACAAATAAAATAGAGAAAATTTCAACAACAATCACTGTTTATACAATATTGAATGGTTTTCGCCTGATTTTACCTAATATAAAATTTCTAATTGGATTTCGATGGATTTTTTATTGTTTCCCAGGTTTCAGTAACCTTTAAATTAATGGCAAATCGAAATCTGATTTTCCTGAAATTTTAGTTATTGAAGACTAAACAGTTTATTTTTTCCAAGGATCTCATTAAAATGACATTAAAATCAGCTATCAAAGAAATTAGGGATCACTCATAACTTAGAGAAAACTTCCAAGCGTCGTTATTTTCTACTATTATTTCTACTGTTTTCTCAAGAAAAAATTGGATGCTTCAACAATCTAAATAAAATATAAATAATTTAGTTTAAGTACTGCAATTTTTGGAACTAAATAACCAAGATTTTTCTTCTTTCTTCTTCCAAGAGTTATTACTGGTTAAGCTGGTTTCATTGATTGCAAGGGTAGGATGTTTCCAAGCGACGCGATCTGATGCCATCGTCGACAGTAATTGAAGCCATTCCTTTTTCCATAGTCTAAGTCCATATATCGTTGGTCCATCTTCAAAACCTTTTCTAACCGTATCAGTCTAGGTCTTGATTGGCCCAGCTCGCTTTTAACGCCACCCATCACAGGGCTTAGCAAGTGACAAAATATGTGCCAAATCTTGTGGGAGATGACGATGAACGTGTTATAATCAGCGAAGGCAGGCGCTCTATTTGTTATTATGAGCAATACCCAGATACGAGTCCTGTCTCTGAAAATTTTCCCCAAAATTATAATCTTTAATTCATTTTCATCAAAAGTTTTTTTAGTTCACAATTTATGTTCATAATTTCATATATTTAACACATTTTCGCACAAATTCTTTAGAACTCAATTATCACTAAAATATTTTCAGTATCAAACCATAATTCAGCATGAAAATAATAATATTCTCACTTTTATTCATAATATATTTATTATCGGTTGATGGCACTTTGCTTAATGAGTAAGTAGATAATATTTTATGTTGAATTTCTTTAGTTTTTCAAAATTTGATAGTGAATTGATAAATTTTTAGTTAGCTTTTAAGAGCGATCATAAAAAAAGCTCTTTTCATATTCAGTCTTGAATAACGATTGAATTTGCTTATCACATTATCACAACTGGATTTTCAAATTTACAGTATTGAATCGTGATATTAAATCCTACTATATCCATTGTAAATAAATGATACATGAAAATTTAAGTGTCACAACTTATCTGAAATTTTTCATAATTTTGGTAGTGTTTTTCACAAATTTATTTCTGCTTAAATTTATTTTTTCCTAAGAGCATTCACCATTTTTGGCTCGTTTCACTGGGTTGTCGGACCAGAAAAATTTTGTTAGCGAAAAGTCATTTAGCGATAGAAGTACAGGTGAGTCGTCAGCAGCACTCGATTCCGCCTATTTATGATTATAGTTATAATTATGGTTATTAAAATCAATATTAACTTTCGCAGTGATAATGATTAAATGCTTAATTTCTTGAATTTTCTGACAAATCTAATCCTTCATCCTTCGAGTTTTTTAATTTCTCAAGAGTTATATTTTTTTAAAATTAGTGCCACAATTTATCATAAACTCATTAAGCAACCATTTTAGGAACGTTCTAAGCAACACACAGCTAACCAGTCGCCGCAATTTTGGACGTGGTACAAGATTATCCTATCACTATCCATATTATTATCCACCTTATATTCCACAATATCCATTTTATCCTCCACTCTATCCTCCTTATTCACCCTATTTTCCTGGTTATTATTGGTCAAATTGGTATCGGCGAAATAAAAGTCGAAGAAATCGGAATCGAAATCGCTTTCTTAATATAATGGTACCTACCCGAGTGAAATGGACGACTTATGAAACATTCGCAATCAGTAAATTTTATTCATCTTTCTGGAGAGAAAAAATTAAATAAATTTTTTATGTAATATCAGAATGGTAATAAAATATACGATTGGATTTGCTTGTTTTCAAAACTATAAACATGGGACTGTTTGGTGAAACTTTTCAATGTCACAGATATGATGAGAAAAAAAATCATCAATTTTCACCAATTTCATATCTGAACGTACAGCACTTATGCTTCTCCCAATCAACAAATTAGCTGATTAGCTGATCTCCTAATCTGATTTCCGCGATTTCAATGTGTCCAAATTGGAAACACTGTTTTTTGCAATTAGCAGATCGAAAAACCACTTAAATATATAAATGTAGATTTCTGTGGATTTGAACCAAATTCTTTGCTTCATCATGGTTGTATTATATTATATTATTGGATCTAAAATAAAATCTCAAAAATAAACAAAAAACTCATAAAGAAATATTTATTAAGAAATATTTATTAAAATATAAAGAAATAAGTTGAGAAAATTTTTATCAAACTATAATATAAATCTGACAAGGAAAAAAAAAATCACCAATTTTTTTCCAATGAATTCTAAAAATTTGACTGATTAAAAAATTAAATTATTTAATGATAACTTATCAAAAGTAAATAAAAATAAAGCATAGAAGTAAAAAATACATAAATAAAAAAGAATAAATTACAAAAAATATATGGTCCGATGCGATGTTATTTTTTAAAGTTATCAGCATTATTATCATTATAATTTTAATCTGTGATCTTTATGCGACAATTACTTTTATATTATATTTATTTTTTAGCTTCTAAGCAATATAAATTGCCATTCCTAGTGGATTGAAAATTTTGAATTTTATTTAAATATCTTGAAGCAATGCAGTGGCTAATTCAGCTTATCACATGAAGCATTCCTTTAGTGTGAGTAAATCTGCAGCTAAAAGCTAGATAAATGCGGGTGATGCGAGGATATTGTCCTATTTTTGTCTCCAAAGCGGTGCTTTCATGGACCCTTTACCCTTTACCCTTTAAAATAACCCATATACCCTTTAAAATAATCCACTATCGAGTGTTGTGTTATTTAAAGATAAACACATTTAAATAACTTTTATTGAAGTAAAATGCATAATTTTATGAATTGATAAATGACAACCGTAACCTGCAAAATCTGACCAGCCTGAGCCTGACAGATTTTTTTTTTATTCTTTTTTCTTCTAGCAGTTCACCATTACTGGTTAGGCTGGATCCAACGGATACAAGGGTAAGACGTTTCCAAGAGGTGCACTCTGATACCATCGTCGACAATAAAATAGATGCCATTCCTGTTTCCATCATCTAAGTCCATATATTGCTGGTCCACCTATATGTTCAAAATCTTTCCTGACCGTATCTTTCTAGGTATTGATTGACCCACCCCTCTTTTGACGCCAACCATCACACGGTTTATGTAATGAAATTTGAATGTTGTGGTGAACGACGGAAAACTTAATCCAGCGAAGGAGATGCTCTGTGATGGTACTTTTAATGAAAATGGCGTTTGAGCAAAATATAACATATAACCAAGATCAAATTAATCAAATTAAATGTTTGCTTAATTTCCATCAACGAAATATATTTCTGACGATGGTAAATAGTTGAAGAACAATGACCAAACATGTTTATTTGTATGAGGGAAACTCGTCATACTTATTGGATACTTACTGGTATCTGCAGGAAGCAGTTCCGCGTTTAAATCAATTTGCAGCATTCACTATGATAAACTCCTAAAGGAATAAATTTCTTAAATGAATAAAAAAATTAAGACTAAATTAAGATGAATAAAAAAATAAAATTAAGAATAATAAATTTTATCGCTGGTCTAAAATGGAACACCATGGAACTCCTATCAGCAATATACTTTGCTTATGGATATACCTTTCCATATAACATATACCAGCAGTCTCTAATCTCTTTCAGTGCATCAGCTCTCTACGAAACCAATATTTTTTCCATCGATCTCCTTAAAATTTTTTGTGTTTTTCACGAAAATTTTCCATATTATATGAATTGATAAAAGTTTTTAAGACAATAAGTAAACAATTTTTGGAATGTTAAAAACGAAATTCCCATTCAGGAAAAATTTTATATATGAATAAGGAAATTTTTTGTATTTATCTACGAAATTAGTTTAGTATTAAGCGCACATCATAAGCGCACAAAAATCTCTTTTTGAAACTGCAGAATTTTAAAAAATACGAATTCTGGTGATATTTATAAAACACTAATAAATTAGTGTAAACATGAATAATACAGCATTAATAAGATGGCTGTTTTTTTTTTAAGAGTCCTTACCATTACTGGCTCCACTGGCTTGTCGCAATTGAGCAATATTCCAAGGAGTCCCTTGGCGATAGAAATACACGTGAGTCACCAGCACCACCCGGATTTTTATATAGGCTTCCTCCTGCGGGGAATCGGACCTCAGCATCGGCACTCCCAATAAGATGGCTGTACGTGATGTTAGCTAAACATAAAAAAATACTTGATACTATTCGTAAATTATCACAATTTGATACATTTAATCTGTACAATAATTTATTATTTACAACTCACGCTTCAACTAAAAAGGAGCAAAAAAATACTAAAAATATTGGTCCAATAATAATCGGTTTTCTGGATGGATCAATTTTGTTGGTCCAATAATAATTTTGGACGTTACGTATATTTTTTATAGTCATTAAATTTGGTTTTTTTATTAAATCAGTTCCAAATTTTTCTTTAAAATCTTAATTAATTTTAATAATTAAAAATCTAAAAATCTATTTCGGATATAACAGCAGAGTAAATCAATGACAAAACAATTCGAGAATGAATCGGATTGATCGGAATGAATTGACCTAATTGGCATTACATTCTTTCGAGCAAGAGTGTCGCCAAAAGGAGGTAGAATGGGTGAGTGGGCTAACTTTAAAAGTCGGTGCTAAGATTCGGCAGGAGCAAGCTCATTTATACTTCTCGTCAAGCAACTCCTCATCTAAATTTATCTAGTTCGATAGACTAGTTTAGCTAGCAATAATGAGCAAACATTTTCTATTTTTCAAATCCCTTTAAGCGATCATTAAATTCTTAAATAAATAAATTATAAAGAAAAATAAAAATGAATAAATTTTAGAACGAAATCCGAAAATAGTTGATCGAGTTTCGATGAAATTATTTTTTTCCTGCAGTCTTATTTAAAGAGAGAAAATATGTCGATCAAATAAAATATATGCTTTTTTAAAGTAATTCTATTAATTATGCCGCCATAGCTTTGTCCGTTTCAAAATTGAAAATCTGGATGAATCGGTTTTCTGGATGGTTCATTTTAATTTCTGATAATCAGTGCATTTCTGAATGTTGAAGTAAATTGCTGTAAATATGATTGTGAAAAGAGACGATTCAAAAGCTTTAGCGTTGATTATGGCCATTTTTTTAATTCGCACTTGTAAAGCGTCATGAATTTTTCTTTGCACATTCTTCGCTGTTAAATGTCACCGTTTGCAAAACACAAAACCTTTTTTCGAAATTTTTGTTCTTAAAGAACAGAGGAAAACAGCAATATTTGCCAAAATACTTCTGATACACGATCACCAATGAAGCCGCAATTATACGAGAAATAAGGATTTTACTGTTTATTTTTTATATAAGTTATCATCTATATGTGCAGTAAAAGCCGAGAACCTGAAATTGCAAATAGGCAAAGATGTAAATTCTTATAACATTTGAATATGATTTTTTCTGCTATATGTAAATTTCCTGTCGCTCTGCATAAAGAAATCCCCTCGTCATTGCTTCTTTCCTATAGCTGTAATGATCATCAGCAGGCTTATTTTAAAATCTAAAATTCAAGTTGAAAAAAAAATTTTGTTTTTTTTTCGCGAAAGGTTTTTCGCAAATGCCAAAGATTTTTCAATATCTTCAACAGTTTTATCTATGTTTATCTATCTAAAAAATTAAATCCTTATTAAAATTAAATCTAAATTAAAAACTCTATTATTATGAAACATGTCTGACAAGGCCCATTCCGCTTTGATTGAGTGGAAACCGGTAAACGACCATATGGCCTATGCCCGTTTTTAGGGTAAGTTCTGCAATATCTCGGTCATCAGTGTTTATGCTCCAAATCTGTCTGCAGATGATCGTGATAAAGACAAGTTCTATGCGGAACTTCAACTGCTAACAAAGTCTCTACCGAAATATGACACGATCATAATCGTGGCAGACTGGAATGCTCGCGTAGATCATAATGCAGCTGCGATGATCTCAACAATTGGCAAATATGGCATCAGAGACCAGTGTGCCAATGGGGAACGTCTTCTTCATTATGCCGAAAGGCATGAACTTTTTGTAATTAATACTTGCTTCCGGCATCATAGAAAACATCATGTGAACCTCCCCGCACAACCAAGCAACCAGATTGATTATTGTCAATCGCCGTTGGAAGAGTTCCGTACTAGATAGTCGTTCCTGTCGCGGAGCTGAAACGGGCAATCTTCATGGATCTGACCATGTTATCGTTCGAGCCAAGATCCGCATAAAATTGACAACTCGTAGAAAACAGCATCTCCCAAGATTCTTCAACTATTTCAAACTAAAAAATTCGGAGACAGTGAGCGCATTTCAAATCGAAGAAAGTACCTCAATGATACAAATATCAATGATTTTTCTAGAACGGCAAATGAATACTGGTCCAAATTAAAGGAATGTCAAAAATCAGCCACTTCCACACTAGGGCATACTAGTAGGAAGAGCGCTATCGGATAGTTGGGTATCGGACGCAACTGTCCAATTGTCTGAAAAAGCTGCCAAAGCACGAATGTCAGATGATCCTGACTACCGGGTGCTTCGAAGATTTGCGAAGAAAGCAGCAAGGTGACAGAAATCTATATTGGAGTGACATGGCCTCAAGAATGGAGGCGGCGGCTTGATTAGGCGACAATAGGAAAATATTCTGCCTTCTTCATAAAACAACTATGACTCGGGGATCTGTGAAATGGTAAGAGACAGCAATGGCGTACTAATCAAAAATATTAAGGATGACCTCATAAGATGGCAAAAATTCTCCGTCAAACTTAACCATGAAGCGCCATCTGTTATCCTTGATATAGCTGATACGTTTGCCGAAGCATACGCTTGCAATTGTGAGCCTCCAACAGAAGAAGAAATAATTTCAGGTTTAAGGCCAACAAAACTCCAGGAGAAGATGGTCATCGGGCTAAGCTTTTCGAATGCTGTCCATCGTCCTTTACTTTCAACACCTTGAACAAATGTACTCTTTAGTATGGAAAAAAAATATTACCAGATGATTGGAGCAAAGCAATTCTCAAAAAAGGTGATAGGACATGTTGCGACAATTATCGAGGAATCAGCCTATTAGACGTCTCAGCAAAAATTTTTGCTTCCCTGCTACTCAACAGATTTGTGGAAGTACGAGACAGCAGGATGCGCCCTAATCAAGCTGGTTTCAGACCAGGGCGCGGTTGTGCTGACCAGATATTCATGTTAAGAAGGGTGTTGGAACATCGCTTCAAATATTTGCAACCCACTGTCACGTGTTTCATCGATTTTGCGGCTGCCTTTGATTCAGTTGATAGAGCGGCTTTTTGGAGGGTCATGGAACGTGTTCCAGAGAAAATCATTAGACTCATAAGGGCATTTTATGAGCGTATGTCGGCGCAAGTCTGTGTATATGGGGAACTGATAGACTCATTCGAAATAAGAACTGGTGTCCATCGTGTCCATTCCTCTACAATATTCAACTATGCGTTAGACTTTAATCACTTATATCATTATTTGAACGACATCTATATAATTTAAATTAAAAAAACACACTTGAATTTTATCGAAAGATGCACTGCTCACTTCAATCATGAAATTTACACGATACCAACATTCAATGCTTTTTCGAATCTCCATAATCCATTCAGCATCATTTTACTCAAGGAGTTTCCGAATTAGTCCAGAGCATCGTATCACAGATTTTGAATACGCTGATGATGTAGTCCTTTTTGCTAATAGTTATAACGAAATGCAAGTAATATTAAATAATGTGTTAGAAACTGCAGCAAGAATCGGATATAGGATTAATGTAAATAAAAAGAAAGCCTTTTCGTCTTATGTGCAAGAAGCTAATAAAAAGCCTCTTTTTGTAAATTCATTGCCGGTTGAGGAAGTGCCTGATTTCAAATACCTTGGGTCCACCTTAATACCAAATGGACAGGCAAAAGATGATATTATAACTCGGATCGCGGCAGCTAGAAATGCATTCTTCTGGTTGACGAAACCTTTATGGAATCGTCGCGAAATCACCATAAAAACGAAAGTCCGCATCTGTATTGCCGTGATCCGTTCGATCATACTATATGGTTCTTAGACATGACCAATGAGAGTGGAGGATATGAAGTTATCTGCCTTTGACCACTCTTCTCTAAGGCACATATTACGCATCGTCTAGCGGACAAGATATCACAAGATCTTCGTTCAAATACCACTTGCGTAAGTAATGTTATCACAAAGAGGGCATTCTCCGTCGTTCACCACAGGAGTTGACGTATATTTTGTTATTTGCTAAACCATGTGATGGTTGGCGTTAAAAGCGAGGTAGACCAATCTAGACTTGGACTGATACGGTTAGAAAAGAACATATAGATGGACCAGCAATATATGGACTTAGACGATGGAAAAAGGAATGGCTTGCATTACTGTCGACGATGGCATCAGACTGCGCTGCTTGGAAGCTAATTTCGCTGGTTCTGTGAAGTTGTCCTTCAAGTTATTATAAGTTGTTTTTCTCTTCTTATCATTTTTCAGAAACATCAGGAGTTGATAAAAATTGATTTATGTTTAATTTTATAACACATCAGAAATTTTAAAGATTTTTCGGATTATCTAGTTACTCCAATATTCCAATTCCTTGCCTTTTTGGCCAGAATGTATCCTTTCCTCGCAAATTATCATAATTAAATTATTTAAATTATTGAATGTTTCCTCAGTGGTAATGAGTCGTTTCACAAATTGGAGTGAAATTCTTCAAAGATCCAATATTATTCTTGAATGTGCTGAAAATTGACCTAAAAAGATAATGAAGAATAAACGAAAAACAATGTAAAGGTCAACATTTAAGTAAAAATTGACCCCAAATTAATTAGCTAAAAGTATCACTGGTTTGATTAATGTAACGAAATCCAGCCAGAAGCTGATGTTTCTCTTTTTTTTTATCTTTTTCTTTCTGAGACGTTTAGCTTCCAGTGATTTTGATCCAACGAACTAGGCATAATATGAGATTCTGCAATATGCAAATGCAAATGTATCGCCAATAATACGTGAATCTTTGAAAGGTAGGTTTTCCCTGCCAGAGGCAGAATCTCAGCATCGTTACTCCAAAATAACAGCAATAACCCATTATACCTCTCTCATTCTCATTATATTGTTCATTTATCTCCTGGATTATCTCTTTCAAATGAACTTAAACAATCCTTTTTTTAAAGAATTTCAAAAATGAAATTTTTGAACCTTTTCATTTTGAACCTTTCAATCTTATCATAATAAATTCATTTTTATTTTCTATTTTTTACTAAGCAGCGGTTGGATTATATCTGTGTTTCAATTCAAATGTGTATAAAAAAAGGTTCATAAATTAATTTTTGAAAATAGGTGAAATTTGATTTATTTGGTAAAAAAGACTATTTTGTTATCTGATGATTTGCTTATTTGTTTGGATTTAGCAGTAGTTTAATAAATTCATAGCGACTTATATTGCCTATTTCAATCTCTAAGATTTTTTCAGTTAATTCACAAAATTTCTTAAAAATTTAGCGAGGTAATCGTTCGGAAAATTTCGTTTAATATTTTGAGGTAAACTGTTTATATTTTTTTCTTGTAAAATGTTTATCTAAATTGTCTTTAAATTATATTCATCTTTGGAATTGATGTTCATGCAAAATAATAAATAAGCGGATATCGAATCAGTTCTCAATGCTGAATTCTGTGAATGATATCGAAGTACCCTTTTTAAATTTTATATATTTTTTCTCATAATTTTAAAAATTTCATTCAGAAAATCAATCTAAAAACTAATCATAAATCAATCTAAAAACTAATCATAAAAATTAATTTTTGGAATTTTAAATCTAAGTAAAACATATCTTTGAATAATAAATTTATAGATGACATAGAAACATTATTTTTAGGTTCCTCGTCCACCAGATGATACAGTTCAAGCGTTGAAATTCAATCCTCAAATCGCGGGCCATCCAGTATTTTTGGTATCTGGCAGTTGGGATTCAGTAATTCGGATATGGCAAATAAGTGAAACGGGCCAGTGCGAAGTTAAAGCTCAGCAAATTGTTGGTGGCCCAGTTATGGATCTCGAATGGCTTGACGTAATTTTTATCTGAATCTTTAATTCGTTAAGCATAATTTGTTTTTATAGAAGATTCCTCTAAAATATCTATGGTTTGAAGATGAGAAATAAATGAAATGAACTGTAATTCGATAGGAAACTTTGAACTGGTACCAATAGCCAAGTTAGATTTAAGATTTATTCGAAAATTTCACAAATTTTTGAAGAAAATCATCAGATTTGTAATAATAGCTCATTTAATTGCAATCATATTTTTTGCAGGATGGAACCAAAATCTTCATTGCAAGTGCCGATGAGAAAATATATTTATGGGATTTAGTTCCGAATCAAATAACCGTGATAGGCAAGGTGAATAATTATTTTTATATCCTTCAAAATTTTGGACCAAATTGTCATATTTTTTTATCTCTTGCAGGTGTACTATTATTTGCTTTGAATCTTTGTTGCCTGTTAAGTATAAGTATAATAAAATCTGATTTCCAGCACGATAAACCTGTAAAGTCATGTCATTGGGTTAATTCAACTAATTATAGCTGCTTGATGTCGGGGTCTTGGGATAAAACTCTGCGGTAAGTGTTTTACTTGGAACATCTATGAAATTTATGTGTTTATTATTTATTTCGTGGAATCTATCAGATTTTGGGACATCCGGCAGCTATCAACTCAAACATCTTTGGCTACAGTGCAACTTCCAGAGAGAGTCTACTGTAGTGATATGCTTTATCCAGTGGCTGCTGTTGGACTTGCAAATCGCCATGTGAAAGTAATCTGATTTGATTTTTTCGAGAAGCCATTTTTCCGGTTCCAATTTTTTTATTTAGCAACTAATGCCTATTTGATTAATTAAATTTGTTTCGTTTCTTTTTCTTCCCACTTTTTTCATTCATTACGATTCCATTTAGCAAATTCATTTTTTCAGTGTTATTCCTTACATTTTTTGTAGTTTTTTGGAATTTTGGTTAAAAAATTATGAAAAAATTAAGAAGGAGCGTAAAAAATTATTTATGGGTTTCTAGATTTTATAGATTTATCGAATTGACGATTATTTTGCCGAAGTGAAGGATTTCTTAATACCATTGCAAGATCAGGTATATGCTTCTCGAAGTTTTTGAGCTATTCACGAAATGATCGAATATTCCTTTTATTTTTATTACAGAATCGATGTATCGCAATATTTAGAGACAAAATTGGCCTGCCGACTGGTTTCGCGCTTGGTTTAACTGGAGGTTTCTCATATCTTTCTTTCGCTTTCATTTTTTTAAATTTTTTGTTGTTGGGAGAAACCAAGAAAAGTGCGAATTTGAGTAAATTATTTTTTTCATCGAATATGAATGCTAGTGGATCAACCAATATTGGTGCAAGTGAATTTGAATTTTTTATCGAAAAAATTGCAAAGAATCATGACCCATTTTCAGGACGCGTTGCAATACAAAGTATTGAAGCTTCCAATCTGAAAGATAATTTTACCTTTAAGTGCCACAGATCGCCTGATCTCATCAATGGATTTCAGGAAATATATGCAGTAAATATTTCTTGGCTTGCATTTAACAATTAAATTAAATAATTTAATTTTGCATAGCAATTTTATCACAAAATCTCCATTTGCAGGTAAATGATTTAGCATTTCATCCTTTATATGGTACTTTAGTTACTGTTGGATCTGACGGAAGGATTGTTGTCTGGAGTAAGGAGCGTCGAATAAGGTTAAAAATGTCAAGTGCTTTGCCTCAGCCAGTAACGAGGGTCACTATTCACCCATCAGGGCAGGTTATGGCTTATGCTATTGGTTACGATTGGAGTAAAGTAATTATTGAATTAACAAATTTTTTGAATGAAAGTTAAATTTTGCACTTTATAGAAACTTTTCTAGAGTTCCATTTTTCCCGTCTTATATTGTTTTAAATTTATTAATGCAGGGACATGAAGGATATAACGCGGCTAACGCGGGTAGCAAAATATACTTACATACTTGTGGCGAAGATATGAAACTGAAGCCAAAAAAATAAATGGAACATTAATAACTATTTTATCAAGTAAATGATGCATTTTAATTAATTTTTATCAAATTGCGCAATATCATTCGATTACGTAATCGCCGTTTTTTGTAATTTTTTTCGCCTGGAAACTAATTCTCCTAGAAATTAGTAATTTCTTTTCTATAGAAGGTTTTCTTTTTTTCTTGCATTCTAAGATTTGAAATATCTCTTAAGGTTTTTTATAATATATGATCAACAGGAATGAAATTTTTTTCAGTAAATAGAATTGCGGAAATCTGAACAAATGGAAATTAGAAGAGAAAGAAACAGGGCGATAAGATGGATGATACTGAATTTTCCAGCCAAACTCTTTAATTTTTTGGTATTCTTCGAAGCGTTTTACTATCGCTTCCTAGAATTACATCATTTCTTTTAGTTATTCTTGGGCAATTTCGCTGTGCAAAAGATATAGACTTGGCCAGGCCTAAACAGCTCATGATGACCTATGATTATTACTTATAGAGAAATTTAGTTTGAAAGTTGCAAATTAGAAATTCATTTTAGTTCATACCATAGTTTAACATGAATTTTATTATGCATTTATTACGATGTTTTACCATTGCAAATTTATTCCTTCCTATTTTATAAATTTCCATTCTGATTTTTATCATTGAAAACTAGCAATTATTAAAAATTGTTAAAATCAAAAATTGTCAATTATTAAAAGGTCATTTCAAAAAATCCAAATTGCTGTTCGAACTTTGCTTGCTAAGATTTCCATTTTCTTCTGTTCAATAGATATCATTAGGGTTATTGTTTGGTGATTGGAGGAAAAAGATGAAAAATGTGGCTTGGATGCCCACAATTATTCACATTCCTCTTTTATATTTATTGGATATTTTTCTCATTCTAATATGATACCGCTAAAATTTCTATTCTTTTATTTTTCTAGTCTTTTTTTTCCATTTTTCTATTCTTTTGTCGCCTTATCGGATAAGATGGAAATATTTTGAATATTTTTTAAAAATTTTTTTCTAGAATCTTTTTTTATTCTCATTTATTTTTATAATTTTTTTTGTTCTTTTTTCGTGCATTCTACTATGAGATAAAATCGTTTTTTTATTGAAAAATAATTAATAATATCGATGATATAAAATGTTAAAATTTATTTTCTTTTTTGTGCCAAAATATGCTTTGCCTTTCCTGGTGTAAGACAGCTTAGATACCTTTCATATGGGAAACTTATCAGAATATCGCTATTTGTTGATTGAGTAATACCGCGATTGTCATTTTAATATAAAATGTTGGAAATGCCAGAAAAAATATTCTTCTGTAAAAAATTGTTGTAAAAATTGAAGAATATATAAAGTTAAGTAAGCGAATTTACAAGTTCTCTTGTTTCCATCTTTTATCACTTCTTTATCATTATACTATAATAATAATGAAAATCTGCGAATAGTTTTTCAGGTATTTATTTTTCCAGTTCTTCAGTTTTGAGAGTTCTTTATTACCATTAACAATCTCTTGATTACAGCTCCTCTTAACATTTCGGATCAAAGTCCTTTATTTCAATTAATAACCGTTTCTAAATTTTTATGCCTTTTCCTAGAAATCTCAACACCTCAACTCCCACAATTTTTTAACTGAACTATTATGACAAATTCAATAATTCTATTTAAATAGTAAAGAACTATCTTTCAAAAGAAAACGAGTAGGTCTTTCTCACATCCATTCAGGTAAAATTCAAGAGAAATCATCATTTCTGACTTGTTTCTTCTGCTAACAGCTCTCACCATTACTGGTTAGGCTCCAATGGTTATAAGAGTAAGACGCTTCCAAGCGGCGAGGTCTGATACCATTATCGAAATAATAGCCATTCCTTTTTCCATTGTCTAAATACATATATTGCTGGTCCATCTATACGTTCAAAGTTTTTTCTACCTCACTTGCTTATCATGCACATATCATTTTTTTAAAATTTATATCATTCTGGCTTTCTTTCAAATGAAATTGATGAGTATTAAATAGCGAAATGACAAAAGAGCGAACCTGCTTATCTCGAAACCTATTATAATCATTATTAGCCCAAATTAGTTTTGCTTATTTTATTATTCAGTACAATGCTACTTTTATTCAAAGATTTCATTTAGTCATAAATTATATTATTTCCTTGTGTTTTCCAAACGAACAAAGCAGTATTAATTTTAGTAAAAAGTAGTAAAAATTTCCGTTTTCAACAATTATTACTAATTCAATATTGAATGATTTTTATTTACTTTTAGTTAAATAAAATTTAGTTCGCATTTGGGATTCGATGGATTTTTTGGTATTTATTTATCGGATTTTTATATTTTGTTGGATTTAAATAGTCGTTAAATCATAATTATTAAAAATTTAAATTTGTTTTTCTTGAGACTTCAAACAAATTTGATTTTATTTTCGAAAAGGGCTAAAAAAAATTTTGTCAATTTATAAATGAATTAGCGAATATTTTAAAAATTCGAGCAAAATTTGTCAATCAACGTTATTCGATATTTTTTAAAGAATTTGCTCGAAAAAAATTTAATTCTTTCGAAATTATTATTGAAAGAATATTAAGTAAATTGTTCGATAGCAGCAATTTTGGTACTAAAAAACGAAAATTATATGAGCAAATTAAATTTTACTTAAGCATTTATATCAACGAATTGTATATCGCCAGCTTCAGCGGGCGAAAATGGAATTTCTTCAAAGGATTTGTGACTTGAATGATTAAATTGCTCTTTGTTCCACGCATTGTTGTCGTGTAAGTTGTCAAAAAGTGGAAAATGACCAAATATATCTAATTGTGAAATACGCTCGCTACGTTTCGTACTTACTAGTTGAGCCATCTGAAGCAATTTCATTTTACTTATTTATGGTATCAATTAAGAAATACTCCCAAAAGAACTTAAAAAAATGCAATAAAATTCATCGATTATCTGAAATCGAACATCACGGATTATCAGTTTATAAACAGTGAAACAACTCACCTGATATATCCTATCAGCTATATTTCTCGCCTTACCGACATATCTTCCCATATAATGTATGCGATGTATCGCATCAGCTCCAACAAATTCAACTGTTATGGTCACCAAAATTACTCCGAGAATTATAAAAATTATGATGGAAAATACTGATACAGGCGGCTAAAAATTATTCTATATAATAAATAATAAAATTTTTGTTTAATAATTGTTTTATTTTGTAAATAAATTTTCAAAATATTTTTTAAAATTAAATTATTATTAAATTTTAAATTATGAATTAGTGAAAAATATAAAAAAAAATTTTTGAAAATTTTTTGCTGAATTCGATAAATTATTCAAATACAAACTACAAACTTTGCATTAAGCGCACTGTACGAAGAAAAAAAATGAGAAGAATTTTAGAAATTTAAATAAGTAAATAGAAAATTATATTCGCGATTTTGTAATTATTGCCAAATGATATAATATTGTGATTGCTGACGATTAATTATTGATATAGCAATTAAAAATTCTTTGAATTTCAATTTAAAATGAACAAACAAACGAACGTTCATATCACCGAAACCAATCGTGAAGACAGAAATAATTGAAAAATATAGTGCATCAAGATAAGGGATTTGTGATGCGATTGCGAAAAATAATGCTCCAAGCAATAGATATGCACATAAAAAAAAGAGAGCAAATACGCTTGATACTGACTATAAGAAATTCTTTCTTATTTATTCTATGGAAATGCACAAAAGAAAATGTGGTACTTTATAAGCAAGAAAAATAAATAATAAAAATTCGGGGTCAGGAAATAGTGGACTATTACATATTTTCCCACATTTTTCTTCCATTTCTTCTGCTCCAGTGGGATACTTTCCTTTTCTGCGTCAGGTTGACTTAGATCTAAGGGCTTCTAATAGGTACACAAAAAGCGAAATTCCCTTAGATCTCGCATCTCTAAATTTTATTCGTTCGTAGACTATAGGCGCCTTCAAAAAATTGATTGTGGGAAAAAATTTACTCAAAGAAATGAAACCATTTAGACACCAGTTTTTAATGAAGAAGTGTACCAATCCTTTCCAGCTAAACTGTCCTCTCAATATCCCTTTTCCTAACTCTATGCAAAAAGGCTATTTTTGGAGTTGGTCTTCCCCCACTTGTTTTGGGTTTTTCTTTCACATCCTTCAGTGAGCCGTTCGTCGACATCATCATATTATCTATCCTTCGTATTTTTCGCATTGGCTCTTGTCGAGCCTTCTCTTTGTTTTTATTTATTGCACCGCTCATAAGCCCAAATTGAACATTGCCTTACCAATCTTGTCTTTACAGATCTTTTTGACAATAACTACTGATAAGACAAATTGCTGGACCAAATCTTTTTCCATTTTTGTGATTTCGTAGTTGCCTTTATGCTTTCACCGTTTCACGACAGTAGTCATAGTTCAGTCTTTGAATCTCTCTTAGAGAGATTAAAGCTTGAAGTAGCTTTATTTGAAAAGCTTGAATTCCTCTTACAGAATAAATAAATTACAAGGAAATGAATATTTATTGTAGCAATTTTCCACACTATTTTAAGGGAAGGACGCGATTTTTTCATTCAAAAAAACACCACATACCTCGGAGAATACTTTTAACATATAATTGCTCATGAATTTACCAATGTCAGTAATAGTAAATAAGACGAGAGGCGCACCTATCAGTCCATAAATTATAACGATAATTCTACCGAATCTCGTTGTTGGCGTAATAAATCCATAACCTATAATGAAGCAAACTTCATATATGGTAGATTTTTTGATTTTTTCTGCATTCTCATTATCTTTGATTTCGTAAAGCTTTTTTAATCGGCAAAATCAGTGAAAAACTAATGTAACAATTCTCTCCAAATGCGAAAAATTCAAATTCTTCAAGCGTCAATTTATTTCTTTTTTTTAATGAATATCGAATGTTTTCGGACACATCTTCGGCAAATAATGTGCATAAATTTAGAATTTTATGAGGGGATCGTTGGTTTAGAATTAAGAATTTCAGAAAAAAAATAAAAATTTGAATAAGCTGATTCTCGTTAAGAATTCATCATTCTTACCAACAGGTATGACAGTAGTCGCTGCCAAGAGAAGTGAAGAAGGAATCGTCCACCGATCCTCTGCCGCGCCATAGTGCATAAAATGCGACTCAAAAAAAGCAGCTGCCTTAATTAATTTTTTTCATTTAATTGTATTTATTTGAGACCACAAACATTTCATAATTAATTCCACGTTTTCATTCAGAACATATGAAATTCTCAGATATTTATATTTTTATAAACGAAAAAAATTCTACTTTAGGTGGGAATATAGGTGGCTGCCTTTCAAAAATACGAGTATGCTGGTGAACCATCTGTACTTTTATTGCCAAGTGAATCGTTGTAAAAATTTTTCTTGTTCGACAAACCAGCAGAGCGAGCCTTAACAGAAATTGTGGGCGCGCTTGGATAAAGCTATTGAAGATATTTTCAAAATTCATTCACCCAATTCAATATTCAATATTCAATACATCAATTTTGTCTATATTTTTAATTTAGATAATGATTGTAATTTGAAACGGTAACGATTGTAATTTGTGAGCAGACTATAACTCTCTGATATTCATCTTATGGTACCAAGCAAAACTGGTTACTCGATGAATGCTGCAATTCAAACTGCAGTCAATGGCTTTTTAGCTTTATCCGTGTGGACTGTGAGAAATTATCCCCTCAAATCATTTCATCAAGAATTGCCTGTCTATAACATATACTTTGTGCATCCACCAAACGAATAGAACCTTGTATCACTGAACATTGTTTTGTACGAATATTATCAGTTAATATTAACAGTGCTACAACTTATCAAAGAATTGATTCATGGCTCAGTGCATAATAATTCTTGTTCTTACGATGGTTGGCAAGAAGATATAATGAAAGTGCCCAGGGTATGAATTTTATTACTGTCAAGTATGGTTTTGAAACGCGATATCCTTAAAGCTCAGTGCCTAAGGAGTAATGGGAAATATATTAATGGGCTATTAGAAGAATAATGCCCTTACTAAAATGAGATGATTATACCAATTAAAAAATCATTAAGGATGTAATAATAAAAGTCAAGACACTGGATTATGCCGTATTTAGGGGCAGAAGGGTAATATAACTCAGTTGGCTCTCATTTCAAAGCGGTAATAAACTTGTCTTTCAAAAATTGTGCTGATGCTGGAGACTCACATATACTTCTATCGATAAATGACTTAACAAAGTTCGCCTGGTTCAATAAGCCATCAATTCTAGCCAATCATGTTAAGCAGCTTAAAGAAAAATTTAAAGGCATACCTCCGAATCATCATAAAATTCAAAAATTTCTTCTATATAATTATCGAGTAAAACAGAAAAATCAGAATCAGTTAAATTATCAATGAATATTGCGTCCATAAAATTCTGAAAATTTTCTTATTATTAGAATGTTTGTGATTCGATTTTTGCCATTTTTCGGCTTAAATACCTTTAATCAGCAGTATCAACTTCTAGTCTGATAATATACTGATAATGCGCTGATAAGTCTCCTCAGTCTCTTCCAACTCATTTTTTATTACAATATGATTGATCGATCTTAGTTCCGTTTTTTGAAATACAATATATCAATCTTCAAAGCTGCATCTTTAAAATTTTATTAGGCTTTGTAGAGATTGTATTAAAGTTTAGGCCAACCTTTTTTATTAAGTTATAGTTCTCTTTCAAATAATGACGCTTTAAAAGCTCATTGGGGCGTTCAACGAAATAAAATATCAGTGCGCCTATGCAAACATAAGTAATTGATGCGAAAACAAGCCCGAAATGAAGCGCTATAGGTTTAATCTAAAAAAAGAATCATAAATTTCAGATATACTAAAATAAATTTTAACTGTGGACAATCTCCGTTATCTGCCAGAAGAAATATTTTCCAGCATTTTTCCAGGCTGAAATTTTATTAAATCTTATTGGTTTAACTTTAATTTAATCTTTCTTTTCCTTATTATAACATAATTTTATATAATTTTTTGACAGTTTTTGTATTAAAAAAATTTTAATAAATTTTTTTAATACAAAAATTTAGACTCAAAAATTAGTCGTAAATTTATTCTAATTTATTCTGAAAATAAATGATAATTGAATAATAATGTTTTGCGCCGTTAATAAATTGAAAAAATTATATATTATATATATAATTTTATATATTATATATATAATTATATAAAAAATTATATATTATATAATTATATATTATAATTAACATATAAGATATTTATGATAAACTTACGCGAGACAAAATCATTAGATATTGTACGGAATGGAATGGAATATAATAGGAGCAACGGAGAGTTTATACAATTTTTGTCGCTATTTTCTCGGATGATATGAAACTGATGAAGTGAATTTGTATGTTATGAACAATCATTTTCAACCTGGTGCATTTTTTCAACGAATATAATTTTTACTAGAATTCCTTTTATTCGTCATCGATATTTCTCAATTTCCTGAAAATCATATGCCAAATTACCCGGAATTTGAATGGAAAATTAATAGAAAATCGCTTAATATGAAACCTAATCAGCCGGCAAATAATATTTTCTAAATGAATATTTTGATCGAGGTACCTATGTACTTGGTACTTGGTCAAGAATAGTCCACCTGAACAAGAAAAAACCTAGTAACAACCAGGCACATCAGATCTACTTTTTTGTATTTTACAAAATTGAATGGAAAATTCATTATGGAAGGCAATGAATTCATTATTTAGAACACAAAGGTTCTTCTATTTCTTCCATTTTTCCACCGTTCCACAATATATTACTATTTTTATTTACTTTCATGAATTAATTATGCTAAAAAGGAAAAGCTGAAAAGTAAAGTAGACCATAGAATTTTAGAATGGTCTCAATGGTAAGCATTATTACGTATGCGCTGAATAGTTCCGGTATGATAATTTTCAGAAATTTTCATGAAAAAATTCGAGGAAAATAAACATATCGTTTATTGATATTAAGGAATAAAAATATTTTTCTTTCTAACGAAACACCTAAAAATAATTAATCCTTTTTTGAAATTGACAAGTAATATTTATAAGGAAAAAATTTGTGATGAATATAAATAAGCAATAAGGCAAAAGAAGAAAATTTCTTCCAAAAAATTCAACTGATTTCTGAAAAGAAAAATATTTTAAGTGTTCTTAAGGCGCATTTAAATAAATTGGCTAAGCGTTCATGGATGAGAATCTCGAAAATTCATTAGACAGTCTAAGAAATCGACCTAAATGCAATTAAACTCTAAATTTTCTCAAAAATTTATCAAAAAAATAAAATAAAATAATGACGCTATTATTGATAAAAATATTGCATATTTCTGCAATTTTCTATTTTTTTAAAAATAATTCGATATTTCACAAAGAATTATATTAAATCGAAGTAATTTATTATTTCGAAATTACTAAAATGCATATATATTTTTTGTAAATTTTAGTTATTAGTAAAATTACATATTAGTAAAATTACATATTAATAAAATTTTTAGCTGCATAAAACAAATATATAAGAAATTTTTTGAGGACTTTTCACCTAAACTTCTATCGTCAAATGACTCCCTGGCAAATCGCTATTGCCAGTGACTTATCAATAAGGTAACTGCTACTGAGAATTGCGAATGGAAATAGGCTTGGAGCCCCTACGACGCATCATGCCTTGTCAGACACCAATCGACAAGCGATGAAAGCAAAAAAGGGGACAGAATGATGGCTCAGTGGGTCAGTTTGAAGTGGCAATAGTGAGAAAATTCTAAATGTTCAACAGGTTAAGCATATTTCTTTCAAGGACTAAGCCTGTTCTTCAAAAATCCCAGTGATGGTGGTGACTAACCTGTACTTCCATCATTAAGTGGTTAAGGGAAAATTTATCTATTCTTATAGGCCAGTGCAGCGAAGCCAACCAGAATTGGTAAGCATAGAAATAAAAGAAACAAATCATCAAAATTCCAAATCTACATCAAATGCAATTTGTTATAGCAGATCTTCATTAACCATGGAATCATCAAAAATTACTAATGACAGGCTTAAACCATTTCAAAAGCCAAAAATAGTTATAAAAAGCCAAAAAACAACTGAGAAAATGAGGATAAACAGAATCTGTTCAGTAACTGCTTTTTAATTTGATAATAACCTGTTACCAAGGATTCGCTCATGTCGGTCTCTATTCCGAAATGACTCTGACGACAAGTTTGCATCTGGTGAATATCTGCCAAACCGAAAACAGAAATATAACATAAACCGAAATGAAATTTCGAGCAAACCTTAGAAATGAATTTCTTTTTGTTTACCTTCATCTCTTTCTTCTACTAGCTCTCAGCATGGCTGATTAGGTACCTTATGCTGGTTTATTGGAGCAGACTGGTTTTAGCAAGGAAGCCACTTGGCGATAGAAGTGAATATGAGCCACAAGTATCAATCCAATTTCTGGATTATAGATTTACATTTACACTTGTTGCAAAACTTCAGCATCGGCACTCTAAACTTAGAAACGACTCGTTGAGCCATTTTAGCGCTTTTTGCTGTTGTCATTCGGCCAGATTTTTGCCATTAAACCACTGACGCATCTCTAATTTAAATAGTTTTTTTATTCACCGTATATAAATAAGAAAAATCTGATCATTTGTACATTTTCGCTGATTAAAAGCTTTTTTATCTTAATAGAATCTCATATCAACTTTAAAGCTTTTTTTCTCTAATAAATTATAGCGAAAATTACTTTGCACTTCGCTTTTTTAAGCGAAACCTATTTTTATACTTTAAGCCCTTAAGCGACATTTCTTAATGCGTAATTTTTTAAGAATCTCTTCATGTTAAATGATTTGCACTCGTTGTTTTCATCAATTTTTAAACTTCAAAGTGGCTTTAGAAAGTGTGAAGTGCTCAGCTCTCATAGTTTCTTTCTTTTTTGTAAGAATCTTCACCGTTACCCTCGGTTCGCTGGCTTATCGCGTTGGAGAAATATGCCAGGGAGTCTCTCGGCGATAGAAATACAGGTGAGTCACCAGCATCACCGGAATTTTTGGGCAGGTTTATTCCTGCTGGGAAAAGAACCTTAGTATCGGCGCTCCGAATTGAGCAACAATCCACTAAGCCATCCTATT